CCTGCAGCAGCTTGGAGGTGCCCAAGGTTCGAAAACTTTAATACAATTTTTTAGAACTTTTTCTTGGTTTACTCTTAGTTCGAAAAGAAGCTTGATTGAGTTTGTGATGAAAGATTAACAAGGTGTTTGTAGGTTTTTTCTTGATATGATACCTATAAAATCAGTTATTTCATTGACATTTTCGAGGAGAGTATAGATTCTTTTTGTTATATATACAATTCGAGAATGTTGGAAAATGAGATGAAAGTGTTCTTGTTCTGTATTCGACAGCTGCTACCCCAAAGCAGATTAGAGAGCTTATGCAAGTCGAAGGCCTCACAAACGATGAAGTGAAGAGTCATCTTCAAGTGTGTTTTCCGATCTTCAGTCCTTTTACTCGTGTTATATATTGATATTCGTATATATTTGATCTCTTGGAAAAGTAATGCTCATGTTGAGATGTTTGATTCAAATTTCAGAAATACCGTCTTCACAGTCGACGGCTCTCAACAAACTCCTCTTCTCTATTGGTTGGCGTGTGGATGCCCGAAGAACATTGCAACGAATCAAGAAAGCGTTTGCATTCGGGCTCGCCCGAAGGCCCGTTCCATTTGGAAGGTAATTCCGGAGGAAATGAAGACGAATATGCTGAAAAATACGAGCATTCGATTGTCCGGGAGACATAATGTATGAATTATCCATGAGTTTTGCAGATACTAGAGAGAAGGAAATCAATAGGATTAATAATAAGCTTTTAGTGAGTGTGCAAAATCCAAGAAAAAAAAAGAAGAGTTTCTCTCGGCTTTTAGTTTTAGCTGAAAAAAATGCATATATTTTTTTTTTTCCGGCTGAAAAATGAGAAGCGAATTCTCTAGAGCCCGGCATTTTTTTTTTTTAAAAAAAAAATAAGCTGAGAACTTAATTATTTTATTTTATTGGTAGTAAGGAACTTCTGAGATATCCTGGCCAGCATTTTTTGTCTTTTTTGTGTTTCTATTGGGTTTCATCTCTAGCCTACCCGACTTGCTTGGGACTAAAGGTTATGAGCATGTTTGTTTATGGAAATTTTTAGTTTGTTTGCATTTTTTGTTTTGGTTTGGTTAATTTTTTTAAAAAATTGTACGGTTAGTTGTTAGTGGGTATATTAAAATAATATTTAAAATAAAATAATTAAAATTGATTTGATGTAAAAGTAAGAGAGAGATGGTTGAAGTGATGGTTAGTTAAAATAATGTGAGTGGATGGATAGTGAATTAAGGTTGATATGGTGTGTATGAATGATTCATTGATATTATTTAATTATATTAATAATATTGATTATAGTGGGGTTGAGTTAAAGTTGAGTTAAAAATAGTGGTTGAGTTAAAATGTGAAATTTTTTTAAAAAATTTCCATAAACAAACATGCTCTATATTGTTGTTGTTGTTGTTGTTGTTGTTGTTGTTGTTGTTGTTGTAAGGAACTTCTGAGTTTGATCAGGGAATTTTGGGCACAATATATTGCCTTAAGAACTTGAGTTATAAATTTGTTGAGAATGTGAAACAGATAACTACTAGTACAATACCCGTGCACTACACGGGTGTTGATTTAAGAAATATATGATAAAAATTATTGTTAAAGATTAATTGATGAAAAAAAAAAAGGAATAGACAGTGCAGAAAGTAATTTGTAAATCGTAATTTAGGAGACAAATATAGAAGAAAATTAAATATGGTAAGATTGCTATTTGCCCAAACTAAGAAGGAAATGTGTACTAAGAGAAAAAAAAGTAACAAAATTAAATATACAGTTAGCAGGTTTGAAAAAAATTATTTATGTCTAATATCAAGCCTAACTCCATAGCAAAAATAAATATATAAACAACATTATAAAGCATAGATTTTCGTCATATCAACATCCGAAGCGTGAGAATGTGTCATTTAAGCTCAACATGTTTTGAATTAATATATAGGGAGGGATAAAATAGTTTCTCCTCGAGTAATACTATATTTGTGTATATGAATTTACTTGTGTTGTCAACTTAGTTGTACACTAGGTTGACAATGTAGCATTTCTCTTTCACGAAATTTCCAAGGAATTTGGTTAATAAATTACTCTTAAGTTATTTAATAATGATATAGAATTTTATGCTGATAACCTAATTAGATCAATCCCCCTTAATATAATTTCAAAATTTGTTGAGCCTAAATGGTTGGTTCGCACGCTTTGGAAGCTTACTTGGCAACATTACATGCTTCGACTTTTAGTTCGGTTAAAAATTAATACAATTATCCCCTTCAACTCCAAAATAAATAGGATTCTTATCTTATATGGCGTGTAAATAGGATTTTTTTGCTTAATATTATAATATTATAAAATACTTAATATATAGAATTTTTGCTTAATCCGATCTCCTACAACTCCAAATAAATAGGCTTCTTATCTTATATGCCGTGTAAATAGGATTTTTTTGCTTCATATTATAATATATTCTTGCTTAATCTTTGCCAAAATTGGTGTGACAAAAACAAATCGGGTTGCTTTCCCAATATTTTTGCATAATCCGATCCCCTCCAAAACTATAAGATATTTTTGCTTAATATTATAATATATTTTGGCCTAATCCAATCCCCTCCATTCCCTAATTGTTTAAAATAAAATACTTAATAAATAGGTTTTTTGTTTAATCCGATCACCGCCAACTTCAAAATATCTATCGTAATGTTTTTACTTTTTAATTAGAAAGAAGAACTGATAATTTTAATAAATAATTACTATTTATTTTATAGGTTGTGTAATGACACCAGGTTAGTCACCACTCGACTTGGAGATCGCATTGTTGAGGCTAAGGTTCTATCGGGAAGGAATATTGGGAACAAAGTACTTACTCCGCGGATGTTATTGACTCCTTCTGACGTGAGATTGGCTTTCAAGTTTCAACGAAGACAATTCCCACTTATGGTTTGTTTTGCAATGACTATGTTGATGACCGACTTTATTTTCCAAGATTAATTAAAGGATCAACCACGTTATCTTCTAAATGGTCCTTCAAATTTATTTCTAGCGGCCAACTTAGTTTAGCTCGGTGCAAGTAAACGATAACCGACCTGGAACAACAGTGGAAACCGACTCATTCAAGATTGTGAACCGATCTCACACAAAAGACAAAGAAACCGACTTCACAAACATTCTCTACTGGAGATTATCCATTAAAATTGAAATCCGAGATGAATAGATTTCAAAGAAGGTGATGAGGCGTACTCCTGATTGGACCATCCAGTCAAAATACAATGATTATTGTTCCCCCATTGCTATACAAACCGCTTAATTGAAGCAACTCAACATTAAATGCGATATGATCTACCTCGGACAAAAAGACAAAAGTCGCCGTACTATAAATAGCAGAATTTCTGACTGTACGGGGATCTTTTGACGCATATTGTACACGGACTATAAAAACATCTCGGTTACATACAAAAACCGACTTCCTGTACTCTCATGAAATCATCAATAATACAAAAATTTACGTTAATTTAGTTTTAATTACACCTTGCTTTTATTTCTTTGAGTTGTTAAATTCCATACAACAACAGACTATTAATAAGAGCCAAAGACAGACATTGTCTAACCTCAGATTGTACTTGCCTAATCCTGTATTCAGTCATGATCAACTTTATGTTGCATTATCTAGAGTTAAAAGTAGGAGATGCTTGAAAATTTGTGTTGCGATAAGGATGAAAAAATTGTAAATAAAACTACTAATGTTGTGTACAAAGAAAATTTTCAAAATTTGAAATAATATCGACTTTGATTTTTTCTATTTTTGTACTTTTATATGACAACATGTGTTTTTTATTATTTTATATTTTATTATCAAACAACCCGTATAGTACACGGATGTCGTACTATTAATCATATTAATTGAATTACGATGTGACACCTGTAAGTTGAATTGTCACACGCAATTTCTTATAGAAACTAGTATGTGGCCCGTGCGATGCACGGGTAAATAATATTAAATAATAATTATAAATTGACGATATAGGTAAATAATATGTATTCGTTTAGGATTTTGAGTGCCACTTTGAGATTTTTTAAGATTTGAGACTTTTAAGATGGTCAAATTCTAGAGGAATACTATGAAATCTTAAGTGTGAATGTGAGATTTAGAGTGAAATTTTGTATAATGTTTTTTTCTTTTAAATCATAACTAATCTTAAAAAGACCTAACAAATCTTGATCTCAAATAAGTTAAATAGTTAAGGATATTTTAAGATTTTTTTTTTAATTTTTAAATATCAAAGATGAACCGCTTTTGTTACCAAAAAATGTGGACACAATTTTGAATGTACATCCCGTCTAAATATCAGTTTTATTCTAAAATAAAAATTGAACGTGGTTTTATCCAATTTACACACTTTTTTTTTAAAGAAAAAATTATTCAATAAGATTGAAAGAATTAGTTAAGAATTATACAACTATTTGTTTCCAAAATTTGTATCCAATTTCTACGGTTTTTAAGTTAATTTGTATTTAGAATTGTTTTCATAAATAATTGACACAATTTTTGCATAAGAATCTCCAAATTTGTTACTAAAAAATATATGATTTAAATTTTAGTAAAAAAATAAAATATGATACGAAAAAAATGGGATTCAAATTTTGCCATAACCAAAAAAATAGGATTCAGATTTTGTTACTAAAGATTCACATGTATTTTTTTGAAGTTTCCATTAATAGTAAGTCAAACATTATATTTATTTGGTCAAACTTTCTATTAATGTATTTTTCCAACAACCTCTTTATATAGATATAGATATAGATATAGATATAGATATAGATCTCTCTTATTCTTATAAGAAAAAATGAGAGCCCTTTTTAGCCTGACACATGTCCTCATTTTTAGCCTGACACATGTCTTCTTGTAAGCTTACAGAAAAAGTCCTTCATTTTGTTTTTTATATGGTACATGCGATACGACATCATTTAATATAGCTTCATTTTCAAGCTACAGATTTTTCACTTTTACGGGGCCCTTACCTCATCGATGTCCTACAAGACAAAACCCTTTCCATCTTCACGCTGTTTTTCTCTCGATTGACAGGCTCCATAATCGGTGACGATGGCTGAGACCTGCAGAACGCGCTCGTGAGCGATGGCAACCAAGGGCTTAAAGTGGATGGCGACAGCGCGACTAAACAGTGCGACGAATGGCCACTTGGATTAATGGAGACGACACACTGGTGAATTTCGCTGGCCCCCGACGGATATCGATGATTGTGTGGCCAAAGGCGGTGGCTCAGATCAGCAACTTCTCTACGGCCTGCAGTCTATTGGCGCATTGGAACTCTACGGATGGGTCGGCACGGTCTTCAGCGCCTGTCTTGTCTGCACAGCCATTTGGATCTCGAAGCTGGAGGCAGTTGCGGCTGACGGAAGATGGTGGGTTCCTACGGCTGTGACCGACTCGACAAGAGAGGACGACTGACCTACTTGTTAACGAACAATTTTTTACTCGCGCATATCTTCCTTTTCATTGTTTGAAGGATCGGAAACGAGGCTACCTGTACATTGCAGGCCAAGAAATTTTGCCTAAAGAATCTAATTTGATAGATTGATTGTTTGTCCCTAATCTGTGAGTTCATATTGATCGTTACCAAGCTGATTTTTGTTATTGGGATTTGTTCTGTGCTGTCTTTATCTGGTACTACTGGCTGATATTCCTCTGTGTTTGGTTCATAGGCTAAATTTAATAATGTCTTGCTTGATTTCTGGTCCCCGTTGGTTTGGGTTAGTTGATTCCTTAAGTTATCAATTAGTATTTTAGCTCGCCTGGTAGTAATTAGTATCGATGGTTTTGATGTTTAACTTGATTTACCTTTGTTCTATATTCTACACATAAGGTTGAAGGATTGTTAGATTGCAAAAGAAGAGAATACAATTGTCATCAAACAAAAAGAGAGCTGGGTTCCAGATATTTTATCAAGAAACTCGAAGAGCTTCGTGAACAGATCCACGAGGAGCGGGAGCAAGCTGTGTTTCATCACCTCCAAGAACAATCTGGCCTCATCCCGTAATTCCACATTCTCAAGGAGTAAATCAAGCAGGCTTTTCGAGAGTCACTATGAAATTCGACCGTAGTTATGATTTTTGCAGGCGAGGATAAACAAATCGAATTGAAGGATAGATTACAAGGATGAAGAAACCCTAAGCCTATATTCAAAGGGCCCAGAAAGAGGAAATTCCCGCTTCCCAGTCCTAGAAGAGCCCGAACTCCTCGGCTTCGCCAAATCTGTCGTTGCTCTTGATGTTTGTCGTTGAAGCAATTGCGGCAGTGACGTCCGTATTTGGCAGTGGTGGAGGACCGCTTGTCGCTGCCATTGAACTTACGTGAGCGGCGGAGGTCCTATGCGACAGATATTCAAGGACTTGCTCAAAGTCCTTGAGGCAGGTATTCAACATGCAACTACTCTATGCATTTTTCTTTTTTTTTTTTCACAAAATAAATGCACAAATTCGAATGTTTGTTTGGATTTTTTATGGGTTTCACTGGTATGGGGTTTTGATGGGTTTGTTTGTTTTGCCNTTTGTTAAATTAAGAATCTGCTTTGTTGTGTAGGTATCTTTTGCAGCCAGAGCATATGAAGAATTTTTTTGACTATATACAGCTCCCATATTTTGACATTGCTTCTGATGCTGCTGCTACTTCTAAGCTTTTTTATTTCCACAGATATTGAGAAAAATACTATCCAGCTGCTCCATTGCTTTTCAAAGCTATTATTTGATCCTTCTATTGGAAGAGTGATTTGGAAGTATCTTTAGTAATAGTGGGTTGCATGTCTGCAAACCTTTTGGAGTACTGTTAATTTATTTCTCTTTCAGTGACTATTATCTGGAATGTTGTTGCATGTCAGCACTTAGGACCAAAAGTTACAATTTACCTTTTAATTGAGATGCTTCAGACATCTGGTTTCTAAGAACCAGTCTGAAGTCATTTTGGTAATCTAAGTCAAGGGAATTGTTTATTGAAAATTTATAAATAATTGACATACTTGAGTGCTTAAGCCGTAACAGAAGCAGCCATGTGTGTTAGATGATTATTTTGTGTTTTTTTTTTTTCTTTGAAGATGCGTTATAGTGTCTATTATGGCTTGGACTATGCTAATGTAATGTAATTTGCTTATCTTGGTGCAGGATATATTGACTACGCAGAAATCAACTGCAGCTGATTTTCTCTCTAATAATTCTCACGATTAAAATTGTGTTTGATTCTACTCTAGAGCATTTTCTTCTTATTTAATACATTTTCTCCTACGAACCATTAAATAATTTAGATCTTGCACCGAGTATGAAGTGCTGCTTTAGAATGCCAAGATAAGCCCCGTTTCTCTAATATGCTAGATAGTTTTCACTCGATAGTTCTTTGCAGGGTATAACTCAAAGCTCCGCTTTAATCAAACAATTATATCACTGGAAAGCATTCTGTCAAGGTAATGCCTATGCTTATTTATCTCCATTTGTTTCTTTTAATTTGGGAGTTGAGACCATTTACTTGTCCCCCTCTCCCAAAAAAAAAAATATCTAGAAAAATTGAAGCAAGAACATGTGTCTGTTAACTTATATTCTTAATTTCCGTTCTTTCGAATGTTAATTCTTCTTATGTCCATGATGTACTTGATCAGTTGTTGGGACAACCCCTACAGGATTTTAATGAATCTTCTCAGAGTATGATTTCCTTTTCGTTGTTAATTTTCAATCTCCTTTTACCTATTACCACTGAAATTTCAAAAAATAAACTGAAGCGTGATAAGAAATAATGGAAAATGTGGCGGCTAACATGACAAAGATATGTATCAGATTCTACTGTGAATTGAATGTCATTTGACAAATATAAAGATGCAGGATGCCTCCCTTCTGAAAACTTTTATCGAAAAAGTACACGATTAAGTGTGCGTTGTGAATCTTGCTTTCTGACAGGAATCGAGCAAGTGCATTCAGGTTGAAGCATTCCACATTTTCAAGGTCATGAATTCTACTTCTAAATCTAAACCTCCTGTAAGAAAGTTGATGAATTTGTTGTGACCGTCTCACTATTACATCTAAACTAATCAGGAACTCAGCAGCCAATTGGAACAAACCCCCAGAGGTTATCAATATCCTTGCAGCCAATAGAAGAAAACTTCATCGCCTTTTTGCTGATTTTAGATGGATAGAGGTAGTAAATGATATATTACATAATTACACAGGCACGTACATATATGAATATAAGTCCAATTTTTTTCGTTTCATTTTCAGCCACATCTGTATATTTGATTCGGTTTGGTTGCATAGGATGAACAGTTTGAGGTTGTTAAATGGCAAGTCATCAAAGAAATTGCTGAGCTTGAGGCCAGAGAGCAACCATGAAAAATTGAGTTCCAAAAACTGCTAAAGAAGGTTAAGGTAATTATTGTTTGTGAAATAAATGTAATTATTAAATTGGCCAACAATAGAGATTATAAGTAATCCACAGTTATTTATGATCTTCTACCTAATATTATCGAAGATTGTACGAGGTCATTCTTAGGGCCTAAATCTTAAAATATGATCTCCTACCTAATATTATATTAGTGCATATTGAAGTACATGTTTATAATATGGACGAAGATTGTACGAGGTCATTCGTAATTTCGTACAAGATCAAAAACTTAAAATGTTGTTGCAAGGCATCCGACTTCTCCCAAGAGTATAATGGGGTGTGCCTGCAAATGAAGATGTAACGCAATCCGACTGCCCATTTTTATCTTTATTGTCCAGTGGACTGATTTGCAGGTGCTCTTGGGCTGTTGACAATAATAATTCATAATGTTAGCCCTCGTTCTGCTTAATGTTCTTAAAAACCTTTTCAGCGTAAATGCACATGGCTCATTTTTCTTCCATATAGTAAATGCAATCAAATTTTGTAAGGTATAGGTATATGTTTATGGCACGACAACTATGTCAACTCATGAGAGAAAAGCCAGCATTCAGGAACTCTGGTAATGTTACTGGTTCATATATTTGGTTAAACATTTTGTAAGAAAATGAATATCGGTTCTAAAAACTATTTGGTCATGTCTAACTATTATTTTACCATCTCTAATGTTACTGGTTCATATATTTGGTTAAACATTTTGTAAGAAAATGAATATCGGTTCTAAAAACTACTGGTTCATATATTTGGTTAAAAGTTGTTTCACAGATACAGGGATAAGAAAAATACGGGCAATGCTGGGAGCTAAATATTGGGAGGAAAAAAGAATGTAGGATTTGCATGGAGATGAACATCAACATATCCTCCCATACTGTAACCATGCCATGTGCTTAAGATGCTATAAAATTGATCTAATCCCATTTTTCTAACATTAAGTATTAGGATTGCCTTTTATGTTCGACAGGCTTTTCAGCCAATATGGCCTTTATGACAACGGTTAGAAATGTTAGAATTGCACCTATATTGGTGAATTTTAACGTACCTTTCACGGTAACAATCTATGTATGTGTTCGACACTTTTCTTTTTTTTTTTTTANTGTATGTGTTCGACACTTTTCTTTTTTTATATTATAAAAATGTAATTAAAATTAGTTAATTAGCTACTTCATATTTGTTATATTTTGTGTTCTTTTCTCAAATTTTACCTAGCTTTATGTTATTGTAATAGACGAATCAATTTAATGTATTTTAACTTTCATTTTACACTTTATTTTATTTTTCTGTAACAATGTATTTTGACACATTCGTACAAGATTTCTTTATCAGACATACTTCATTATTACAATTATATTAATTGACAATTTTAATTAAATAAAACTATGAGAGGACTTTTATAAAATATGAAGTACTCATAAGAGAAATTTTAGACTACAAAAATCTACTTGCATCTGCAAAACTCATACTCAGTAACCTAATTACCCTCAAAGTTAAAATTTAATGTTTGTTACAATGTATCTTCAGTGCTAACCTACTATAAACTAACGAATTATATCAAATTGTTTTGTAGTTGAATTTTAATATTGTCCGACTTTTATCTTTCAATTATGGGTTGAGACGTTAAATTTCTTTTTTACTTCCAACGTTTCAATCCACATTTGAATGATAAAAGTAGATTGTTTTTTTTGTTACACATTACAAAAATAACTAATAGTAAGATAATTATATATTAAAATTAATACTTAATCAACAACATAATTTCACAACATAATATATAACTAATTATAAATTAATTACGTACTTAATTTTAACAAAAATTGGGTCGGCTGTGCTGTGCACAGCCGGTATCAAACTAGTATAGATATAGATATAGATGTATTTTGTAATGTTTATCCAAACTGTCCCTTTTTTTTTTTTTCNACTCTAACTGTCCCTTTCACAAAACAAAATAATGGAGATTGAAATCTTTTAAGATATATAGAGAAGAAAAAAATATCTTTCTACCTAAGATACACAATGAATGATCCACACACATAGTTCCATTACAACACGTCAAACTTGTTAAGTGGTAATCTTTAGAAATTGTATTATCAAATTCCCATAATATAAACTAGTACGAATTTCGTGCGATGCACGAGTAAGAGATATTAATATTTAAATTAAAAAATCTCATTAAATGATATTTATAAATTTAAAATATTAAATTAATAAAATTTACCTACATTACTTTAATGAAAATGTTATATGAAATTTAAATTGTGCAAAATTACATAAAACATATTCTTGGAATATTACGGCGTTTGATCCGAAATCAAGGCGTTGATCCTCATATTAACGTTAATTCAAGTCAAATCAAGTCAAGGAGAAGATCAAACCGAAGATTTCGCTCCAAGACTCAAAATCGTTCGTGAGAAGAATTAGAGGAGAAAATAGAGATTGTAATCGACAATATTCATTTAATTTGAGAAATTCATTTGTAAAATATTTTTTGGTATTTATAAATTCAATACACGAAATCTGTTGCTATACATGTTTATTTGAAATTAATACACAACACGTACGTAACTGATAAAAATTACATTATATTCATTTCAAAATAAGTGTCATTGTAAAATTTTTATTCAGAAATTTGACTTGACTACAATGTGATTCAATAAAATAAATATTTTGGTAAATTTTATCACATATTTAAATATCTATGTGAATAATAAATATAGTTATAAATCTTATATTGTTTAATTAATTAAAGTATTTTTTTTTTTTGTATAAACTATCCAAATTCAAAAATTTAAGTAGTTGAGTAATTGATTAAACTATAAATAATTGACTATTCCACTTACGTCAAAGTTAATATTGACCCGTAACTTATGAATATTTGATTATTTGACTTTTAAATTTGGACTACACAATAAATTTTATATATTTCACATTCACACACACACACACATACACACACATATATGTATTATCTCGCAATTTTTTAGATTTGTTGTCGGTTTTCTTATCGTTCAAATCTATCGACTAATTCTCTATAATTAAAACTTGTAAATTTTATTAACCAATACTTGTTCAAAGATATTTCTGATTTTCAAGAGGAATACCTACCAATTTCATTAATTATTATCAATATTTTATGGCCAATTATTATGAGAATATGCTAAAATTTTAGAATTATATCACCTTGTTTTTATAAGAGCATCTCCAGTGTAGGGATGTCAATGTCAAATGTCATGCCACGTGTATGTAAATCATTGGATAACTTATCCCTTTTAATATCAACGTTGACAGTGTAAATAACAACATCCAAATACTTCGTACAATGCACACTTTCTTTTGTACTGGATTCTGAGTCATACTGTCAGAGAGACTGTTTGGTTTCAAACAGTGGCCTTCACTACTGTCAAGCCACATAAGTTAAAATTAAACCACGACAGAACCCATTGGAGAGAAAAAAATAAAGACAGTGTTATGTGGTATATATTTTTTTGGCTCAACAACCCGGGAGATGCTCTAACAAATCAACATAAAATTCGACTTTCATACCTATCAAATAAAATTCATACTACTTATTTTGTTTTGAAAATTTTCAAATACTCAACAAGTTATACTTATTTTATTTATTTGCTTATCATCTTCAAAATTCCCTAAACTTTTTTAATATTCGAATGATCGAGTTTACAAATTTGATTTATTTATGTTATTTTATAATGACGAAATAAATAAACTCCAAAAGCAATTTTATCAACAAAAGAATTAAGGGGTTGAAAAAAAATCTTTTAAAAAAATACTTTTATAGCACCTCTAAATTTGGCCTGCAACATCGACTAAAATAACACAACAAAGCAAAAAAAGTCCACAACAATCCTCAACACAATGAAGTTACAAAAGTATACTTTCCATAGTGTCTATAAGGTCCCAACACGATCACATGTCACTAAAAAAGACCCGATTGGAATTAACTCAAAGCATGGATACTAATAACAAACATAGTAAGTTGGTTTGTATTTTATCTAAGAATACAGGTTGTTCTCTAGCAAAAACAAACAAATCTCGTATCCTCATATCTGTCGTTCATTTTGCTTAATTCCAACTTAGTTCTGTCAACAAATTTTAAACAAGCACGAGGTGTCGCTCAAAGAAGACCTCATGTGTTCTCATATACATAGTAAAGAGAGGACTCGTGCCAAGTCCGTATTCTAAAACTGCAAGAAAGTTAGATAATAAATGTAACGAACAAGCAAATTACGCGCAAACGCGAAAAATAAAATAAATAGTTATTAATCTACATTCGAACCGTATGATAATTATGCATCATAGCTTTTGTAATCAGTCTAGTATCTTGTTGGAATCGTACACTCGGGCTACCCTTTTGGGGCCCTTTTTTTTTAAGTTGTGTGTTTTTTGTGTTGTGTTTGAGTTTTTACCCAGTTGGGGTCGGTTCTAGGCAGTCTTTGATCCGTCCTATCAGTTTATTCAGCCGTTGGCTGCTGTATTTAGCTAGTGGCTGTTATTTTACATATTTGTGCGTTTTTATATAGTATCTCTATCGTTTCAACAAAAAAAAAAATTGATAAAATTAAAATAGTGTAATTAAATTGTAGACCAAACAAATTTTAAAATTGAAATTGTAAATTAGATTTTAGCAGTTACTAGTTTTTGTCCCGTGCATTTGGACGGAAAACAATATGATACATGAAAAAATAATAAAAATTATAAACAATAGTAAAAATCATAACAAATTCATTGAAAAAAATTAAGAAAAAAAATATAAATATTCTTAAACACTTCTTTATAAAACAACGTCGTGGTTTTTCTATCGTCCAAATCTCCCTCAGCTCAAATCAAAATCTTCAAACCCCACTGACTCGTAACTCTAAAAAGCGCCACGTATAATTGCTCATGACTAAATGCAGAGCTCTTCAGTAGTAAGCCGACGTGGGACAGAGACTGTCTTTGACTCTTATTGATCATGTCATAGCATGGGAAACACTTCTTTATATTGTTTGTCCTTGACTCTTATTGATTGATAGAAATTGTCCTTGCTTCTTAATAAAAAAATACCATCTAAATATAAATGAGTAAATATAATATTAATTTTTTTAAAGTAATTGATAATGAGTATAGAATTACCCTTGCGGATTCAAGTTATTTCAACGATCTTCTTTTTATATATCTAAGATTTAATTTTTTTTCTGATTTATATGAATATAAGCACATTTGACTAATTTTTATAAAATTTATTGAAAAAAGTTACTATTTTTTTGAAAAACTTATAAGATATTAAGATAGTTTAGTCATTAACTAATTAAATTTAACTATAAAAAATCTTCTTAAATGTGAGATTAATGAGTAATTAATTAAAAAAATATGTAACTTCTTTTGGAGGGAAAGAGAAAATATTTTTATTAAATGTTTTATTAAATGGGATTAGCTAGCAATTATATATATATATAGATTTCACTAAATATAATGATTTAAATTATTAGTAGTATTAAACTATAAATTAATTAATTAAATAAATAATTTGCAAATTAAAGAAAATCACTTCACATTAAAAAAAAAAGAACAATTTCCTTTAAATCTGAATCAAATTTGGCCACTTTTGCAGTTTTGCTCAGGTCGCCGGAGGGTGTTTTTTTCCCGATCACAAGCTTTTCCGATGAGCGTGTTCGGCGGCGACAGCTGGGGGCGTGAGGCGCAATGCCGGAAGAGGAGAGTCGACGATCTATTAATCGACGGCATCGAAGCTTCTGCTTACAAGAGGCTTGCGAATGGCAAATTCGCTTGCCTTGTTTGCCCCCAAAATCCCGTTCTCGACACCCCGATTATGCTCTCAGTAAGAATTTCTACAATTTTTTCTTAATATTTTGTTTCCTCAGGTTGCATACTCTTCTCCTATTGATGACAGTGGCTGCAATTTTAGGGGAAACGTTAGGGTTTCTTCGTATATGAGGATTTTGGTTTCAATTTTGTTGCTTGCTAAGGTTTTAATAAGGTTTACAAGCTTCCAATTTATCTGGGCTGAGTAGGGAATTTGATTCTGAGCGAATTATTGTGATTTTTGTACACAGACACATGTGAATGGCTCACGCCACAAAGCTGCCGAGTCGAGGCATAGAGAACGAGAATTGTATATACAACAAGAAGCGAAAAAACGATCACAATTACCAGATTGTGTTATCTCCAATCGTTTGATCGGTCATCGGAAAATGAATTCCCAAAAGCCTTTGATCAAACGAGCCAGGAAGGCTGCATCTGAGGTGTTTCTTGGCCAAGCTACTCAGCATAATCCGAAATCTGAAGCCGCTCATTCAACGGTGCCAAGTATTGAAAGTTGTAGCGGTTGTGCTAAAGGCATTCAAATTGAAAGCACAGACAAAGGGTCTGTTAGAAAGGTACCGAAATTGGACTATAGAGAACAGGTAGAGAGGGAGCTCAAGTTCACGGCTGCCGGGTGGAAACGAGATTGCCATGGCAGATGGTTCAAGGATGAGAATGTTAGTTTTTGTTCTGTGTTCTTTTGTTGTGCAATCTGTTGTCAAATTTTAAATCTTGAGCTCATGTCGGTTTAATGGATTTCTCATGAAACAAAGATTGCTCGATGGTGAAGGGTTGTTTTGATTGGCCATTTTCTTGCAGGCCGAGTTCGATTCTGATGAAGAGGACCCGAACCTAGTCTTGAACGACGCCACTTGACGCTCGGGAAATTATCATTGTAAAAAATTCTTCAGCTTTTGCTGTTTTATTGGTATTCATATGCTTATGATGTCTATGCAAATCAGTAGGTATAAGTCTTGTTAATGTGCAACATGTAAGGTTGTATGATGCTGTGTGTCGACTGTAAAAACCCAAATCCGAGATTTTATTCAGACTTCATATCCGATGGGATAATATTATTTGTTTTTTGCGGGTTTAATTTAATCCTCTGTGCATCTCATCATTTGGTTCGACATTTTTTTCTTAAAAATCTCAGTTACATTAATGAAGTGCTAAACTTGTGAAACCTATGCTGTGTTACGGGTAGATGTTTTTTATATGTTACTTTTCACCTCATTCGATCACATCAAGCGATTACAACATTTCATGTGGTCACTAATGATTGTTAGTTGAAATGCAGAGGCAGATGAACCTACAGTGTGAAGATGGTGGCCAAGTGGTGAAAGTAATTTATTGTACACAAGTCTAGTGATGTACGGTACACAAGTTCGCCAGTAAGCAAAGCGAAGTTACCAGAAGGACTTGGAGACTTTTAGGGAGGCAAGAGAGACTAATGCGCAGGCACTTTTTACTGAAGAGATTAATCAAAGGGACTACTGAGGATATTAATCAAAGGGACTTCTGTTGGTTTGGGTATGCCTGGCGGTAATAAAGAGTTGTTTTGTTGTTTGTGTATGCAAAGTTGGATTTGTAAAATGAACTGGCCAACTTAATAGATGCTAAAGGACATGTCTTAGTGATTAATAAGTATCACTTGCACTTGTTCCTTTGAGACGATCCTCTGAGATCGGTAGAGGATACAATGACAGACCTTTGTTTAACTGGTTATGGTGTCTATTTTCATGAGTGATTGATTAACGTGAAATTTCTTGGCTTGATAGTAGTCTTATAACCTCTTTTTTCTCTCGTGACTTCCCAAGTGTTCTTTTCTGTAATTCTTTTTCAATGGCATCCATATTGGGAGTACGACAATTCATTAGGCTACTACCTTTTCCTGAAAACGAGCTGTTATTATGATCCTAACTCTGGCTTCTACTGTACTGATACTCTCTAGGTATACTTCTTTATTTATTTATTTCTTTTCATTTAATTGCTTCAATTTCAAATCTTTTAGCTTATAATATACTAAAACCCAACTGGCAAATGGGTGACTCAAGAAGAGGCCTTTACCTCATTTCAAGCTTCCACGGGCCCAACTCAAGTCTTGTGTATTTTTGTCAATTTTGGATGTGGTTTTAAGTATGATGTATGAATACCCGGTTTATGATGGGACTCATATTTTCAATCCTTGCTCAGGAAATGTTAATTTTTTGCCCCAACTCTTTTTTTTTTCTTTTTTTTGGTATGAGTGCTATGGAACATATAGAAGACGAGCTTTGGGCTACTATTTGCTAGGATTGTTCGGAGGGTGCTCGTTGGCCGAATTTGAAACGTATGTAAATCTTTGCTTTTGGGCTCGAAATCGCTATTCTAATGTGTTTTCATAAGCAAAACGAAGATTGATTGAATCCATCACGTGTAGCCCTATAGACTAAGTGGTTTTAGGACCGAATTCTACCGTTCTAACTTATCTTGGGACCGAATTCTACCTTTCCCAGCCCGTTTTGATCTTATATATATATATATATATATACCACGGCCGACTCAAATTTAGTCTAAAAACCTAGCAAAAATTTGTTGCCCCTTAAAATGATCAGTCGAATATATATATTTTTCTAAAACATTGTTGTTGATTTAGATACAAATGAAGTTTATGTTGAATAAATTTTGACAAAATTTGACTTTCATAAACTATGTAATTCTTGCACAATTTAATAATGACAAAATACCTAGATTTAGATTTACACAAAGTTTTGTTATGTCCACGTTGAGGTTTAAAATTAATATTTAAAATTAATATTCCTATGTTGTTTGGATATATCCAATTGTAATTTAATCTTTATTCAATCTGTTAATTTTGTTAATTAATTGATAATTATTAGTTATTAGTCATAATTTTGTACTTTTTGTTTGCACTTGTTTTTTTTTTAATTGAACTATTGCATTGTTCCTTAATTGAACTATTTCATTGACAGGAACAGTAAGGTAAACCACATTAGAACAAACTATAAAACCCTCTAAACCACATCAGAACGAACTTTGATACCCTGTCTACATTAACTGTACATAATATGTCTCTTAACTTATCACTTTTTGAATGAAAGTTTCAGCTGAATACAAATAAAGTCTCTAATTTTTAGCACAACAAGCGCTCTCTATAGTTTGACAAAGTGCTACATTATGCACAAGGTTTTCTAAAATGCTGTATACCTTTCAACGCTACTTGTTAACAAAAGGGTTTAATGCACCAAACCCCCCTGTATTATACGAAATCTGCGCGTTTCTCCCCTGTATTTTAAAAAATGCGTCAGACCCCCTTCTATTAAGATTTTGTATGCGCGGAACACCCAAAATTTAGACGTTTTAGGGTGTTTCGCGCATACAAAACATTAATAGAAGGGGGTCTGACGCAATTTTTAAAATACAGGGGGGAAACGCGCAGATTTCGTATAATACAAGGGGGTACTGTATATTTTACCCGTTAACAAAATAACAAAGTGCTACATTATGCACAAGGTTTTCTAAAATGTTGTATCCCTTTCAACACTACTTGTTAACAAAATAATCCGTGACCATAAAGACCTCAGCTTTTTGGGCACTTGTTGCATCTCTTTACACATTAGGCATGTTAACTTGACATTACCTCGAGATCCTTTTTCATATATCATATTATTGCTATTATTCCCTACTTGCAATATGAATTCTTCTTCTTTAAATAGGCAAAGAGAAGAGTTTCATGAAATATAAAGATCCATATACAAACATATATTTTAATATAAAGAACAATAAATTAAGTTATACATAACCACACACACACACTTTTGCATTTCTCAATAAATACAAACTACTAAACTCTCCTATGCGATCAGTTTCTGCAGCTATCTGTAGCTATTTGTGAAGAAGTCAAATCCCATGTGAACAGAAGCCAAAATAAATTAAGGCTTGTTTCCAAAGTCAAATCCCATGATCAACAGTCAAAAGGCACGAAGTTAGTTAGTAGTATAATGTAATTGGAGCATGACTTTCCATGCTGGGTTGATGTGTGTTATTATTCATTGGATAACCTAAGAGCTTTCACGGTATGGTATTTCAATATTTTGGCTTTGCTCAGATCAGTCGAGATGTCATCAGGAAATAGTTTGGCGAGTTCCTTCACGGTAGCTTCAATTATTTCTTCATTACTTCACGAGATCCATTCCTGGGTGCAAAAACCAACTCCAACATCAATTACAAATTAAATGTGTAAATAAATAGAAGAGCCCAATAAAATAAAATTAACCAAATAAACAACACGGAAAAAAAGTAACTCGAATCTTGATCAACAGTGGTGCAGAAACAAAATAGTGCTGCGTATGTATTACCTTACCAACATGTCCGCGTATACACTAAAGCTTCTACAAGAAAAAAGAGAGTAATTACTATTCACCGTAGTTTATGGGCGCTGTTACACCTTGATATTTAAAATCTTTATACACTATCTTAGCTGAATCAATAAGGTCGGACGAAGCAACTTGTAAAACCAGGTTAGCCAAGGTCTGTATAAATAGATAAATAATGAAAGAATAGCAAAAACGAAAAATTTATCATTGCCATTAGTTTTGTTGGGATAAGCCAATTTGTCAGCAAAAAGTTATTCATGTAACAATATATTATCTAGACAAATTTAACAATAAAATTTGCAGTATGTAAAGTTATTCACGAGATGATTCAATTTAATTGCCATTATTTTTCTTTCATTTTGTCCATTATGTAAACTCCTCAATGAGTTCTCATTAATAAATCGAGGCAGTTAAGACTTCCAGAAAATAAAACCGACTAAATTATCCTGGTTTGTTTGCATACCAAAAATCACAGAATGCTCTTTCTATTGCAACCGATCCTTAATGCCCAGTTCTCGAAACAAGTTATAAACATGTGATAAGTCTCAACTACACAAAATCATGCATCAAAAGCACATGTCCATTTTACTTATGAACAACCGTTGTCAAACTAAAAAATAGTCATTTATAAAACAAGTATCATTTTGAGAAGTCAACCTCACAAAATATGTGCAACCCAGTCTCGTATCAGTCTCCTGCCTCATCTTTCCATGCCGCCACCTCGTCATAGAAAAAAGGAGTGAAATGTTAGACAAAAGGAAAAGTTACAGGAAAAATGGGATTTGTGGAGTACATAATCAATCTTTCCAGCCAAAACATCCCTTGCTTCCAAGGATACTAGTACAGTCCCCGTGTGATGCACGGGGGTTTATTATCTCTGTCCCTTTTATAAAGCAATGTTCAGTTAAAATTTAAAGTACTTACTAAAGGAAAAGATCATGCCATTAATAATAAATAAATTAATAAATACAATGATAATGAAATCTATATATTATTGAACGCTTCCTTATATACAACGTGCATGGTTTGATTCTTTGACACGTCATCGTCGCTACAAATTAGGACTTTCAAACCCGTTTCTGTTTGTGACACGGGAGACAACAACATACAATTGACCATGACTAAACACTTCTTTCTTAAGAAATAAGCCCACATGCGGTAATGATTGTTCCTGACTCTTATATGTAGTCATGGCGTAAGAAAACATAATGGGAAACAACCAATCTAATAACATCTACAAAAATATAAGAAAATGCATCAGATTGAAATGTATAACATATAAAATAGTTTAACAATAATGAATAATTCAATAAATAAATTATAAAAGATGTTGCATAAAATGATGCATTTAAATAATACTAAAAGAATATATTACCTCAAAATCATGAAAGATAATCTCAAGAATATTTCGGTAATTGCGTACGTCTTCAACTCGTCGGAACATCCTAATTATGCATAGCTTGATTGGTGGCTTATTGGATCTTTTGATATCCTTGATTACTCCAAAATCCGAAGCCATTTTTAATGGTGATGTAAAAGCTTGTAGAAAAAATTATTTTGTGGGATATATTGGATGTCGAATACTTTTTGTTCAACGTTGGTGATGTTTATATAGTCATGTGTATGTGCCATATGTCTGGAAAATAAAAAAAATATTTACATAAGGTATTTAATATGATCCGGTCTAATTTTTTTTATTATGATTATGATTGACTTCTAAAAATATGTGGTATCGGTTTTGTTAAAAAAAAAATGTGGAACGTGATTCACTTGTGAGGGACGAACGAATATTTAGAAGATTATGTAGCCAAAAATAATGGAGTTTGTTACAACGAAATTTGGTAAGACTTTTTATATAGATTGAAAAATAATATTTTTATTTTGATATTTTTCTATTTATTTGGACAAATCCAAAACTATAATTTACGAAATTATAATCTTTAATTTTTTGAAACTGTGTAAAATTTTCCAAGATAACTTCTATAAAACAAAATGTGATCAAATCATAATTGATTTTTATTCCTCAATATTCCAAATCAAACCTTACAAATATGGTATGATTATTTACTATTAATATTTTATTTTTTCAAACGTCTGATTCTCTTAGGTTATATGAAACAAAGTTCAATCAAATAAAAATTGATTTTTATGCCCACACTAAAACTTTATCAATATGATATGTTTATTTTATTTATTTATTTATTTTTTCAAATCCACAACTCAAATTTTTGAGAGAGAAAAAAAGGAAACAACATCTTATCAAACCTTATCAAATTTTCCAGAGAGGAAAAAAAAAACAAAAAAATTGGAAACAAAATCTTATCAAACCCTATCAATAATGAAGATACGTGTTTCCATGAAAAGCTAACAAAATCCCGTGGTTACCAAAATCCTATCAAATTAGTTAACAAAATCTCGTTAAATTGGTTAACAATATTGGAACGCATTTTGTTAAGAAAGATTTACATAATTTATCCATCTAATTAATATCATATTAACGTGTGGGCCCAGTGATATTAATTTAGTATACATTCCATTATCTCGGAATAATTTTTTGTTTGATTTACAACATTAATTTGAATGGAAAAAAAATCCGTAATTGTTGAGATATCTCAATTCAAAATCTCAATTTTTTGGCATTAATAATCTTCATATTTGTTACCAATAAAAATAGATTCCTATGGGATTAGTATTTAAAATGAATTAAATTTTGGTATAAGAATTCCAAATTTGTTACCATAAGAATCTTCAATTTGTTACCATGAGAAACCCATAAAAATCTCTTATGGATTGGAGTTTATCAATATTTAGTATAGCATCCCATATTCAAGGAATAATTTTTTGTTTGATTTACAACATGAATTTTTGAAGGGGAAAAAATTCGAAATTGTTAGGATATCTCAATTCAAAATCTCAATTTTTTGTCATAAGAATCTCAAATTTGTTAACATAAGAATCTCATAGAAATCTCCAATGGGATTGGAGTTTATCAATAGTTGGTATAACATCCATTATTTTTGGAATCATTTTTTGTTTGATTTACAACATTAATTTGAATGGATAAAAAATCCGTAATTGTTGGAACTCAATTCAAAATTTCAATATTTTAGCATAACAATCTTCAAATTTGTTACCAATAAAAGTAGATTCCTATGGATTAATATTTAAAATGAATTAAATTTTGGTGTAGGAATCTCTAAATTTGTTAACATAAAAATCTTCAATTTTTTTTGGGATATCTCAATTAAATTTGTTACCATAAAAATCTCCAAATTTGTTACTATAAAAATCTTAATTTTTTTGGTACATGTGTTTTTTTTGGAATTTCCACTAATAGTAAGTCAAACCATTTATTTTTTTAGTCAAACTTACTATAGAAGTATTTTTCCAACAACCTCTTTATATTACTATAGATGTGTGGGACCTTTTCCTTGTTTCTTAAAAAGGCAAGTCAAAGTTTTATTTTTTAGGTCAACCTTACTATTTTTTTATTTTTCCATCAACCTCTTTATATTACTATAGATAGGTTTATGGACTGCTTCTACCAAATTATTTTTCTGTTGACAAACCAGCCAAACCTACAGGTATCCACTCATCTAAGAGAATTGGCTAGGAAAACAAAAGAACAGATTATACCCCACATAATAGAAACTAATAAAACATGCAAGCAAATCCTTCTTACCGTTACATCACGAATAACACATTGTTAATTGTTCGACGGAGAGAGACTCAATGACACGGACCTCACTGGGGAGCCCAAGCCTGATCTTGGGACCAAAGAAGATGAAGAGTAAGTGGACGACGAATTCGATGTGGTTTCATTGAAATTCTCCAAATTAATTGCGGCGAAGGCCCTTCTGGAAGCCGATCTAGTGTCAATCGAGCTCTCGCCAAATGCTACTCGAAGAAGGGATGCATGTGTGCTGCATTAAATATGTTTTTTCCAGAGCTTTCATCGCTGCTTAATAACTATGGAATTGAAATGAATTTATATTTTCATGTGTTTAACCATATGGGTATGTTTTCAGCCATAGTAAATGAAGGAAAAGAAAAAAATATAGTCAGGGGATGAATAATCTGAGACAGATGCCAGGGAAAGTTTACCAGTTTTGGGTTCGGGGACCGATCTGGATCTGGATTCAGAAATTGACGACGATGATGATCGACCTCCTTCTTGTGGCGGCGCGCACCTGCAGTGAGACCGCGCCGCTCATCGGTGCCAGAGACGGTGGGTAGCTCCTCGCCTTCCTGCGGTTAGGGTTTTTTTGGGTGAAATCTGACCTTCGAATTGTTGAGAGCCTAATCTTCAATTGCTCCTGAGATAGATAGAGAAGAGCTGCGATTTTGAAGGGGAAGAAGTGAGAGAAACGCAGCCGGTGCGGTGAGATTGAAGACGAAGTGAACGGTTATGATGCTTAAGAATTAAATGAGAGAGTACACTTAGAGCATCTCCAATGTTATACCTTTGAAAGATAATTATTTTTGACACATGTCAATCAATTATTGTAATGTGAATCCATATAGAAATAATGTTAAAAGAGTAGAAATTTGAATCAAATTAGTATCTCCAATGCATCAATTTGATAAGAAGTTATTTGTATAGGTGGACTAATTAAAATAATCATTAATACAAGAACAATAAAAATTAAATCAAATATAAAGTGAATTAATTAGTCATCATGTTTAATATGGTGTTATATATTAGAAAGTGTATTAAACATTGTCAACATTAAATGATATCCACCTCATCATGAAAGAGCTCATGACATGACAAGCTGTATTGGAGAATAAATTAGTAACACACCTTCAAAAATTGATGATATGGATGAATTTTTATAATGTCAAAAACCAGAGATGCTCTAAGGTTGCGTGAAGAGAGCGAATTGCAGATTTTCGGGGCACCAAATCGCTAAAGACAGCTTGATTTTGAGGGGATAAATGTCCAATCGACACCATACTCGCTAACCTAGCCTTACGACGTCGTTTGCTATGAGGAATGAAAAAAAAAAGCCAAGAAAAAGTGTGCAAAAAGTCAGAAAAAAAAAAGGTAACAACAAAGTTACATGGCCACGTTGCAATCATATGCAAAGCTTTTTTCAGTCACGTGCCAGCCATTATAAGTATGGGTTCTAGAATTGCAAAGCATTAGCACACATAAAATGCCACATGTCACTATTTGAAGGACACTAACTTCTTTATATATATATACTAGTGGGATTCCGGTTGTGCACAGCACAACCGGCCCAATTTTTATTATAATTACTGGTATAATTAAGAAAATAATTAATTATAGATTATGTTAAAAACTTGTTTTCATTTGTACTTATATACTAATACATATATTTTGGTCAATTGTAAGTTGAACAATAGTTGACAAAAGAATGTTAACATCCTCCTCTTTTTCCTCTAGAATTATTGTTCAAAACTTTAATTAATTTATAAACCATTAAGTTAACTATTCAAAAAGCACATAAAAAAAAACCTATTCAACAAACACCGTAACGCATTTAAAATAAGTTAAATACATTTGATTCTACAAAACCCAAAAAATAGCAGCATAGTCTAACAATCAAAAGCAAACATGTTTCGATTCTAAGTGCGTATCTTTGTTTACTATTGTTGTAATAACTAATAAACCATGCAATTATACATTATGTTAGAAAAAAATTGTTGTTGATTTACAAAAATAGGTATCTATTACTTCTAGTCGCCACTTGCGGTTTTTGTTAAATAATCTTTTCTTGTTTGCGATTCAATAACTTCTAGTCTCCACTCGTGGTTTTGACTGTGTAGTCTTTTTCTTGTTTGTAGTTCAATAACTTCATGTCACCACTTTGGCTCTGGCTTAACAGCCTTTTCTCATTAGCGATTCAAATATTTGGTTCAAGAATTTCCGTTCAATTACAAAAGTTAGCCCGAGGCTCAGTAATAACCTAAAACACACCTGTTTGAAATTAGAAATCCTTGAAAAATTTGAACCTTTTTTTTTTCTATTTATCCTTGTCCAATGCTCAATTCTTGTGGGTCGTCATTTTTATTACATGAATCCATCTTGAACTTACAAGCCGGAAACCTCAGTTGAGTTTGGCATGTCCTATGCTTGTAACCTGTCTCCATCTTTGCCATAATGTGGAGTAACAAACATTTATGCGACAATCTCCAAAAATGCTCATGATAATAAATAATGAATACTATGTACATTCATATGGAACAAAAAAACAGCAGGAAACAAAAGTAGTTTCACATTTTGCGTCATATTAACGCGTGAGAAATAGTTGAGCATTCAAATTTCCAACATATAATATAATAATTGGAACAAATGAAAATAAAAACCTATACAAAATAGAAAAAGTAATATCATATAAAATTTTCATATTTATCAAGGTTGTTTACCATGTGTATTAATTAGTTAAACCCCTACCATTGAAACAGAAATCTACCAAAAAAAGGGGAAAGAAACTCAAAAGTAATACATGACTAAATATGAAATCTGAAGCCTAAACATGCAACAACAAAAGAACCACTCTCAATCTAAATTCCCTTGGTTTTAAACATCATCCAGATATTTAAAAGTGCACCATAAGACCATAGATATGTGTCTCCCAATTTGTCGCATTGTTGCTTTTCGAGCTTCTCTTACCAACTGAAATACGAATTTTCTTATTTTCAGTTATACTGCCAACAGTTTGATTCATTCAATTTAATAAGCTGAGGATTTGTTTCAAGAAAATCACCCCAAGAACTCGAATGCGCAGCTTTAAGAGACCACGGAGTTGTTTCACGATGTCTTCATTCTCTAGACCCGATGAGGCAAAGAGGTAGCGGGCGATCATGCCTGAAGAATAATAATAACCGTTGCTAGATAAAACAATCATCAATCGATGCAAAATGAGGAAAAAGAATGGGCAGTATAGTACATTGTTTGTTTTCTTGACATTTGAACTGTGTGTCCTAATCAACGATTACTGTCTTAAATCTAACAAATTTTGCAACATAAATTGACCACATAATTTTAATTGTGTTTTGGAAGTTGTTTACATGTTTTAGATATTTGAAGAAAGAAACACATGCAGAACATGAGCATATGGTGCAACAGTCTTAGGGAATGTCAAACAACTTCACCCACTTCATTTATCATGCCTGAAACTAAAACAAAAAAGCGAAAAAGGCTGCTTGATTTAATTATAATTTACTAATATGGTGACATTTCTCTCACAGAAATTCTCGACTCCCTTTTTCTCATATACAGAAAAAGAACTCACCTTCAAGTGTAAAAAATGCTCCAGGCACACATGCATGTGGAAGAATAACGAAATGGCTAATCTGTAGCTATTGGAAAATAAATTCTACACTGTTTTTTAACTTGGCAAGACAAGTGAATGAAACAACAAATATGGTTAAAACCTCATGTGCTCGACCCATAAATTATAGACTAATTGAACAAATAAAACTGTAACTCAGCAACTGTAGATAAAATATGTGGGTGACCTGGTCTTGATGTAGTATTTTGTATTCAATTATTGTTGCTTCATAATTTAAAGGCCAAGCATAACCTCAGTAGCCTCTTCCAATGTCTTTCTCGCTTCACTTCCAGAATCAAAAAGCTCAGTAAAGTCTTTACAAATAGCATCTGAGCCAATGTTCAATGTTCAGATGTATTTTTCCTTTCGTTTGTAGTAAAACTGGAGGGAAATTCCAAACATACGCTTACTTTTCTATAAGTTTTGTTTTGGTTGGACAAGCCCCACAAAGAAGCAACAATCTTATGGCCTCGGTATATTATCCTCCAACAGCATGGTGAAGAGGCTAAAAACATAAAAGCCAAAAGGTTAAAAATCTCTAATTATATAATAAAACTAAACCTTCTTTAACAAAAATTTCTACACGTGCACAAAATTTGCATAAAAAATAGAACAATCCAAATAAACAAATTAATACCTAGACTCGTCGTGTCCCATTCCAAATCAACAGTTTTGTGCATTCTCCTCATGTTGTATGACATTGGTGGAGTTTATGCCACAATTAGCTGGAAACAGAAAACAATTGATACAGTGGATAATTACAGAAACCACCTTTAGGATATTTACGTAAAAATAAAAAGATTTAATGGTTTCTTTGTACCTTTTAAACATCCTATACTCTGTTTACTTCTTGTGCTTACTCTAAACATGAAGTATTGTTTACAAAATTATTTATATTGTGTTGAGTATGGTTCTCAAAAGCATCCATAATATAAAACTGACAAGTATGTAGCCAATTAGTAACCTCATTCTCTGCCAATTGATACAGATATATACACAAAAACAAGGGCAAAATTTCAAAATTGGTCCTATAACTTGGCCACTGTCCAATAAACTACCTCGATATTGACCACTTTCAATTTAGGTCCTATAATTTGTCGATTTCATCAATTTTGGTCCTTTTTATCCGCACCCTGGATTAAAAAGTGACGTGGCATGATGTGTCAGTTTTTTAATGTTACATGGCGTGATTATGATCTACGTGGCACGTCAATTTTGGTCCTATAATTTGTCGATTTCATCATTTTTGGTCCTTTTTTCATGCCACGTCACTTTTTAATCCAGGGTGCGGATAAAAAAGGACCAAAATTGATGAAACCGACAAATTATTTAACCTAAACTGAAAGTGGTCAATATCGGGGTGGTTTTTGGACAGTGGCCAAATTATAGGACCAATTTTGAATTTTTGCCCAAAAACAAGTGCACCATCACATTTCTGTATCTTGCAAAGTTTTTCAGATTTTGAATTCATATCAAAAGAACATTGGCAGTTTATGATGCATGTACCCATGCACAAAAATGCATATAAGCACATCAACTGCGCGAACAGAGAGAGAGAGAGAGAGAGAGAGAGAGAGTACAACCACAACAACTACGTGACAAAATATAAGGCTACGTGAAGTGGGTATTGAAAACTCGTAAAAAGTTGGATCCACAAAATTCTTATCTGTAGATACCATTCGTGTTATTCAAGAATTCAGTTCACTTTGCGAAATATTTTCACTTTGCGAAATATGTAACCCAGTTTCCGCCAAGACATCACATAGTATTTAGTAATTTGTTAAACATAGTAAGATAAAAACATGAATGGATGAAGATAATAATCAGTTAAACAGCTGCCATGGAGCACCTTCCTGCTCATGGGTCTCCTTTACTAATTTTTGTACTTTAATAAGCTGGAAAGGAATTAGTAAATAATTGTGAGACGTAACAAAAAGATTTCAAGTTAATACCTGATCGAAGTATTCATCAGCTATATTCATGTCCTTGATTGTGGGCAGATTATAATTGGCTGCAAAAAAAAAAAAAAGAAAAAAATAGTACGAAACATAAAATCACGAAAAGCAATGTTATTGTCACCGAACAAAACCAAGAATTTCTTATCCTTTATGAGAATACCTGACATCTCATTACCTTCTTGATCAGTTGCCTTTCCCATCTCTTGAAATCTCTTATCACCATGAAATTTGATTTTTTCTACTCTTGGAAAGACCACAGCAGCAAGCTGATGCAATGGAAAACCATTTTTCTCACATTAGAATCCAAGAACCAGACAACGGGAGATCATAGTATTTTAATTACCGTTACAAAATCTGCAAATAGTTTCAGTTTGCGTCTGCGAGCATTCTTGTACAGATTAGTTTGATCAATAATGAAATTATGAGGTATTTTGAAAGCACTGGAAAGAAGGATATTGAAAATTTTGGTTGCACAATTCATCAAGAGCTAAAATGAGCTAACCATATTGCATGAGCCAGCATGTCCAACTTGACATTTTCAAGGTTCATTTCAACCTCCTCAATAATAACCTATTAAAATGATACAAAGTATAAAGAAAATTCATGTCTTTTTATGGGAGAAAAGGTTGACATGCTTGTACATGTACTTGCATGGCCTCCCATTAAGGCAGCACGATCTTGCAAAAGACTTTCTGTTTCACCATATCCACCATATCCAGGTGCTTTCACAACACAAACCTGGAACATAAAATTTAAATATTAATGGCAGAAGTCAAGCAACTGGTAGAGAAATAGTATCACCCAACGAAAAGAAAATACCCCAAATTTAGGATAAAGGAGTCTAATACCTTAATTCCAGCTCTAAGTTTGTTAACAATAAGACTTGCAAGAGCTTCAGTAAATTTTTGCCTAACAAACACTAAAGCATTAATCTCCACCTGCCAAGGCAACAACACTTCCATTCAAATTTGCAAAAATGTATCCAAACATGAGAAATATTATAGACGGAACAAAAAAGACCCACACAAAAAATATTGATGTTGAAATGAAACAAAATTGTAGAATATTTTAGTGTGAATAATAATAAGATAAAAGGAATTTTAGGGATGTAAAATATAAGAGTTATACATTTAAGCTAAAGTCATAAATCAAGTAGCCAACGCAACCACAGATATCAATTATGTTGGTAACAAATATCAAGGCTACATACTTGATTAAATCGGACAATTGCTACTTCATCCCGTATCAAGTAGTACAACAAAATAAACATTTATCTTCTTCTCTTTGCTCACAACTTCCCAGCTGCAAAAATACAACCAAAAAGAAGAAAAGACAAATTTCAGTTGCAGTTCAAAAAATCACACAATACTTGTGCTACATGAGATGCTTAACTAAATACCACAAGCATAAGGTTAGCTTAAGTATTTAAGTTATGAGTAGAAGATACCAATTTCTATATGCTCTTAGTACTTGGGGACGCACTTTCACAGTCAATAAGAAAACCAATAGTGCTCGTTCCATGGACCAGTTAAATAGAACAACATATCATTTCAATTGCAAGTAAAACTTACATAAAACATCAGGGAATAGCTCAAAATATTTATACTAACTGCAGCACATCCAAAGTCCACTGGTAGTGAGTTCCATCTAACACAGGCTCACAGTTCATTTACGGACGTTAAATAGATGTCAATCATAGTTACATATGCGCCGAGATACATTATAGTAGAAGGAAAAATGTATTTTAATGAGAGTATTTTCTCTATTGAGATTGTGGGCTTGATTTTGCAAATTAAGTTGCAGACAGAAAATCAATGAGAATATTTAGCTATAATTTATTACAAAACGGTGTTGTTTCATTTTTATATAGCTCGCCACTCGAATTCTTTTCGCCCAACCAATACTCAGTACCTGAGATTAGAGAATCTTCTCCCGTCCGCTCGCTACCTTCTGCATAAAGATTAAGCCTTCAGTGCATGCGCTCAGGGAATCTGGATGTCTGTGTTTGATCGCTTCCATGGAATTTTGTTGGGCCAAACAGAGCGACCAACAATGAGAGGCGAACAAATCAGCAAACCAATAGGGGATAGTCATCTAAGCCCTCCAGAGGCGGACGCGTCTTGACCACGCCATACTCGGGCTTCGAATCGGGGAACTGCGTTTGCATCACCGTGGCGGCAGGCAGCGGCCCGTCGCCGGATCTCACCAATTCGGCCCGGGGTTCTACGAAGGCGGGCTGTTTCTCGCGAAAGAGAAAATTCCCATTAAAGCCGCTGTCGATGCCGAGATTCACCGGCGAGGGATTGGTAGGGAAAGGTGCGACACTTTTACAGCTTCTCCATGGCTAGGGTTTTGAAGAGATGAGAGATTCTTTTTCTGATCATCTAAGTCCTCTCACTGTCGCAAAGTCTCGCTTAAGAACTAAGCAAAGACAAATCGATTTGCCAGAAAGAATATGTCCAATCGCACGCATTCTGTAGAAACTTCGGGAATTCAATTTACCCTAATAACCCCCAAAAACCGATTAAAGCAGGGTTATTTAGGTAATTGTGAAACCAACTTGTGTAGTACGGCGTCGTTTTGCTAGGCAGAATTGAAAAAAAAAATATAAATGCAAGTTATCGTGAAAATGAGGAAGCAAGGGGTACGTGGAGGCCATATAGTTCAACTTTACTCCACAAAATTGTGCCACGTGTCAAGCCATCAATTGCCTAACATTTTCCCTTATAAGAATAAGAGAGATAGTAGATATAGTAGATATATATATCTCTCTTATCTATATATGAAGAAGTGAAAGCCATTATATTGCGACAAGTGGCTTCTTCTTACGTTGACATATGGCATTTTATTTATCAATTACTTGAATGTCCTTTTTTGGACACACATAAAAAAAAGCTCTAACACTACTTGGGAAGGGCAATAAGGTCAATTGGATGTCCCTTCTATTTTTATGTGTTTTGACTTAAATGCCCCAATTGTATTAACCTTTTGGAGGTTGTGGACGTAATTTACCGTCTATGCTTCTTTTCTTCCTGTCCTCGCGGGATTTCTCCCAAAAAATCTGGTGAGATGCGCGTCATGTCTTCAATCGGTTGTACCCTTATCTTGCTGAATTTTACACTTCTTCTCTTTACCTAAACCACTGAAATGAGCACCACTTTTTTCCATTTTTCATCGCTCGCTACACTGAAAGAGATTGAAGAACGAACATGTTCTGCTCTCCATTCTGAAACCTAACCTCCGGGACTCTCTACTGGACCAAAATTCCTCATCCATGGCTTTTTTTCCTCTCCATGGCCGAAATCCTTTCAACCCGTTCCCCGGCCCCAACCCGATTCCAGTCCGAATTGGGCCTCGATTCCACTTAATACTGGTGTTGCCGCTGCGACTGGTCCTCCTTTTCTACTTCTTCCAGTATGTCTTTCATTATTTTAGGTTATAAATAGTGGAAATGCAAAAAAATGTGTTTTTTTGGAAATTTAGTCGATAGTATTTTGTAGTTAGTTATTCATGTTTGAAATTTTTCATCAGGTATGAGAAAGATGGAAAGCCATCCGAGCTATCTTCAGTGGACGTGTTTGTGACTACTGTGGACCCCATGAAAGAACCTCCCCTTATTACATCAAACATGATTTTGTCAATACTTGCTTGTGACTACCCAGTCGACTAGGTCGCATACTGTGTATCAGATTGCCGCCACGTGGCAAAAATTTGCTTGGGAAGGTGGGTTGGCTCTTACTTTACTATTTTCTTTCCCATTTCTCCTGCCCACTTTTTTCGAGCCTTTCAGCTCATATTTGATTAAGACAAACCTCAGGTCAAATCTGTAAGATCCTGTGAAACCCACCTCAAGAATTATATTTTTGCTAATTTTTCTTTTTTATTTTGTTTTGTAAATTATGTCTAAATGTGGTCAGTTCACATTGGGCCGATAATGGAGAAAAGATTCGGTGCAGACCCAAACCAGAAGGCCCGGGTTCTACTGCGTGATGTGATGGAGAAGATGAAGCCATTCTTAATGGCATATGAAGGGATTCAAAGAAGAGCGGGAGGTGAAGCAGCACCTATATTTATTCATATTATTTATTGTTACTATTATTTCATTGCTTCAATGTTTGTTATGAATCTTTAAGTGATGTTTTTGTGGAGTTAAATGTGTCTAGACATATATTTGAAACCTAATCTCCCAACACCCAATCCCAAATACAAATTTCCGAAATCCAAAAAGAATAGTAAAAGTTACACTTTTAGCTATGAATTTGTTCGAATGAAAATCTGCCTTAATAATTAGTTTAATCTTTGTAATAAAAGAATGAGTAAGCACAAGAAAGAAGTAGTTATGGAGAAAGCTGAAAATGATTTAGCTGCCGTGATGGATCAACACAAGTCATGCATAGTAAAAGAGCTGCATGGAATAGACTTTTGGAAGCTTAGATGAGCTTATTTCCCTGGGATACACATAATTAACTATTTTTCCACTGATTATTATTGAAGCTGCATTAGGTTCCAAGGCCTTATTGTTTCCCCTCACATGTTTTGTTTTAGATTCAGGAATATGTTGAAGCTGCTACACTTTGCAACTTTTGTAAAAATGGTACACTTTTGAATCTTGATGGGATCAATACTTCCTTGCTACCTCTAAGCGACCCATCGGTCGAGCCTTTGCAGATTAGTGTGCTTTGCTATGTATTGGAGTTAATTGTTCCGAACATTTCTTTACTTAAGAATGTTTTCAAAAAAATGTTTTTCTGGATTTATTTAAGAGCAAAAACAATTGTTTTACATTTATTTAAGTAAGAGCAGAAAATACTTGTGAGTAAAATTTAGGACGTGTTTGCTGAAACGAGTCGCGAATTTCAATACATGAATTCATTATCTAATAATATTTTGGTATGAATTTATAGAATGCCACTTAGAATTCATCTGTAATGAACTCGCATCTTGGGGTTGCTTCCATTCTCTGGTGTTGCATCGGGATGAGAAGTAGACATGACGAGTCCTGATGATATCTTAGTTCACCCTTTAAAAAATCGAGAAAGACAACGTAGGTACAGGGCCACAAAACGTCACCAAGCTGATATGAGAAAGATCATGTGAGTTGTTAAACGGTTCTGACCATTAGAGTAATTTTAATGTTCCTCTTGAGATTTTATTTATTTATATTTTTTTCCTTGCATTCTGACTGTGTCAGTTAGAGGGTGTATTCAGAAATTAGATTTAGTATGAGTTACTCAATTTAGGTAATAGTATGAATCCTGGGAAGGTTTAGGGGTAATTTGAGGAAGAAGAATGGAACTTGGTGCCTCTTAATTGGTTGTTGTGAGGGTGGGACTTGATAGCCGATTGGAATTATTGAATGTTCAAAAGTGGTTGGAAAAGTTCCTCTTTGGAAGATTTGTAAAGTGATGGTCATAACGCTCACCTCATCCTAATTATGCACTTTTTCACTTGATTGTTGCACTAATTATGCCGTGTTGACTTTAATTCCCAAAATGTGTGTATTCCAAATCAGTGTTTGTTAATGGGTTGTCCTTTAATCTGATGAAAAACCAGAATTTTTCATGTTGAAAGCTATTGAAAATTATAAAAGAAGCTTATGTGGGATGGTATCTTCTCTCATGACTGCTCATATAAAATATAGATTCGAATAAACACTCTGCAATTCAACTCAACTTACATCAATTACATTACTGATGATGAAAAGGTCTTTATATCTATGTTTGGTTGTAACTATTGTAAAATTGAACTCCTATAATGGCTGCCAACTGTGGATGTACTCCTACTTCATATAATAATATATGATTAAGAACCATAGTTTCTTATTACATACATGGATGTCGTGTCTGATATATGGAAATGCTCATGATTAATACTCTAAATGCCATGTTCAGTTAACACATGCTAAAATATATTGCCACTTCATTTTTCTTGATATATGTTATTCTCGGATACAAGAGGCCTTGTAGTCAATGATGAAAGTCACTGTCCTTACATTTCTTGGAACTCATGAGAGATGCATATATTTGTTTTCTCCACTATTTTCGTATAACAGAAATTAGGCCTGCTATGGACAATTTGGCGAGCGTTTATAAGAGCATGAAAGTAGCAGGAGTCAATATATTATTGTTATTGATAGAGATTCAAGTGCGTAAAACACTTCGTCAAGAGAAGACACTAAGTAGCTGGATTCTTGACTTCTACTCGATTGGTTCGCTTGTTCGACCGTTGTCACTCAGGGGGCGTCTACCAAAATATCTGGTAATTTTTCTTATTCATAATAAAGGATTTTTAGATCAACATTTGATGGATGGTGGATGTTGATTTCTTAATTTCAGTTTTGGTTTTTTATTTCTTATTTTTTCTTGGATTACAGAAAGGAAAAAATCCTCTAAAATGACCTGCAAAATGTTCTTATCCTGACAGTGGCCCATTATTTTCTTTATGCATAGGTGAAGAAACTCAAACTGGTGTTGATATACGCCAGGTCCAAGATAATGGCGAAACCGAATTGCAAAACTTGAACTGCACAGTTAAAAAACAACTTTAAAGAAAAGGGTCAAAAAGCACAACTGTGAGTTCCCAGAGATCTTCTCAGTCAAACCAGGAGAAACCTTCATTTCCAACCAAGAAAAGGGTCCAGGTACCACTGTCAAACTTCTGGGGCCCCAACTGATCAAAACAAGCTGATCCACTTTGATGGACTATGCATTCGAATTGGTGATTAGTTTTTATAAATCTGTTTATGTTTGGTATTTAGTTTGCATGGTATCTCTTTTCTGGTTTCTTATCATGAGCTTCAAATTAGTTATTCCCAGTATGGCCATCCTGTTGTGTTAACAAATGAAAGCTTTAATGATTTTAACCCCTATTTCCTTTTTCCTTTAGAAAATAATATTCTTGTGTAACTTAGTTGAACTTGTGTTATTGCATCAGGCAAAGTATGTTGATCACTTAAAAGATTGATTGTTCAAAAATTTATTCGTGAAAGTGAGCCTGATGAAACCTCAAAGAATGCTTTAGTATTCTTTCTATTGCATATTTCTTTAAAAGAATGACCCGACTGCTTGTTTTATGTTCCATGCAGATAGAAAACAGAGATTTTATATAGTTTCTGCCTTGGCCGAGACAAAGGTAGACCTAAAAGGTATAAATACCTTAACGACTAAACTGGCCTCCCTGTCTTTTCTATGCTCCATTTTCTAATGGTGAAAATCAATTGGTAGACTTTCTTATATAATTTTACATCTCTCTGGGTTTAGGGAAAGGGGGTCTAAGAATGGCTCCAGAATAAGCACTTGCGAAAATTCTTCAGGTTCTGTATCATTCTTATGTTGATTTATGTTGTGTATGTGTGTCTATGTCTGTTGTGGTCTTATTGTTAGGATTCTAAATATTGACCTAGGCCTGAACACTTCCTAATTCTAAATATTGTTAGGATTCTAATTTTACTACTGATAAGCATACGGACTATATATACTCTTCACAATCATATAATGCTAAAAACAATTATGAGTAAGCAGATTGTTTTGAGATTTATCTTCATAGGTTCTCCTTTGTGGTGCAAAGGTATCAGCAAAAAAGTTCTATTGGTTACTTGTAGTTGGTTACAATTTTACATCTTGTTGCAGGCACAAAGTAGTGACAGATGAATGTAACAGTTGCTTTTGGATGAGGACATGTGGAGGGATACCCCATCCATATTTGATTAGCAGTGTAGTTTATATTTGTTTATTAGTTGGAGTTGTGAACAATAACAAGATAACTGTTGGTTTGTTTTTGACCATTTTAAATCAACTCATATTTTGCACTCTCTTATGACTGATCAATTTGATATTGCATTTTAAGAATATGTATTTTTGGCTTCATTTCATCTATTTGAGTAATATTTTTACAGTGTAATTTGTAGTGTTTGCTTGATCCTTGCACACAATAATGTATATATATTCTGCTCAGTGAGGTGAGGTGAACAATTTTACGGAATATCTGACATAATTAAGAACAGTAAATGATGGCACAGAACATATTAAGGAATGATTATAGACTAATTACAAAAAAATACGTACATTTAACTGACACTAAATTTTAACTTGATTATCAACTCATTTGAGGCGGCTGTGCACGAGTCAACTAGTATATATATATATATATATATATATATATAATATTTAATATTTCCTATTTTGTTTTCTTAATAGTCGAGTTTGGACTAAGGCTTTAGTTTTGATAAGTTCGAGGACGTAAATGTTTTAAGGAGGATAGATTGTAAGTCTCGAACTAATTTTTATATATTACCTCAACTTTACTTTCTATAAATAGTAGATTCATAATTATGTCGTATTTTATTTATTATAAATCGCATAATTTGTTAAGTCCTAAGTCTAAGTCATGGAGAAAATGTTTAAATTATTATTTCGGAAACGAGATAAAATTTTAAGTTTAAGTCTTAGTTTATAATTTAATTGAGTATTAGAAAAGTCGGGAAGTTATTTAAGTCCCGAATGGGCCCAATTTCCGAGGCCAATTAAGTGGGCCATTTTTACTTTGGCCCAATTAAATAAATCGAGACATTTTAAAATCCTAGTCGAATATATTTTATTTAGACCCGATTAGCCCTTTTAAATAGATCGAGACTAAGACGAGTAATTTAATTGAGCCCAAATCATGTAAATATCGAGCCCAATAATAAGCCCAACACACCCATGAAACCCTAACACATGCTCTAGCATAAATACACATTCCCCTCATTTCCATCTTCATCCAAGAAACCCTAGCCCCCGTCAAGATCCATCTCCTTCACCATCCACCACTTCACTTTTCTGGCCATCCAACGAGCTCCGGTCAACCGCCGTCCTCCGGCGACCTCCCGGCCGGCAAGCACCGAACCAGCAATGTTTATCCAACCCTCTTCGTCTGTTTTCATCCTCTATATATGTTAAAGTTTTATGTTGTTAAGTTTTCTGTTTTCACCCTGATGGTGTGTTTTACCTCTAATGTAAGTTTTCTGTTTTCATCTTAATTATGCAAGAACATCACGGGGATAGTGGTATCGATTGATAACTATGGTTTTGGTTTGTATTGTAACCAGTACAGTAATTCTTGAAGCGGTCAAACCGGGACTTGTTCGGGCTCGAAAGGTTGCTGCTCGGGGCCAACAGGAAGCTGTCCGGGTCTTATTGGGGCTGTTCGGGACCTGCTGGTTGCTATAGGAAGCCTACAGAGTGCTGCCGGGACAAACCAGCGGCTGTTCGGGATTGTTCGGGGTCAGCCTGGGCCGGCGAGTCAAGCCAGACAACCACCCAACAGTAATAGCTGAGGTACTTTTTTTTCAAAATATACTTGCAAAGAGCAAGTACTTTTTTTTTTCAATAATTCGGTCTTTTAGTTTAACTGAATTATTATTTGGCTTACTAATGTGTCCTCCATACATTTTTTATTGTGAAAATTCTGTTTTGATTTTTGTGAGCTTCATAGATGACATAATAACTATTAATTTTGAGGTCCTAAGGTTTTAAAAGGTACAGTGTTATTTAATTAGTATATCCACATAACATTTGATAAGTCACAAACAGCTACATGTTGACAATGTGTAACAAATAAGCTTGCATGATTCAAGACTAATAATATAGATTGTTGATCGTAGAAATACCAGGTGAGGTGTTTTCATTACGTGGTATTTCTCTTTGCACACTGCTTAGATTTGTCGACTGCGTTTTCTAGCATTGTCTGTTTTCACAGAATACAAAAGCAAGCTAATAAGATTTTAGTCACCTTTGATAATCATTGAAGTATCTATTGGTATATTTGAAATGTGTATTCTTTATAGGAAAATATCGTTTATCCAACTGTTTATTGGCTGAAAATGTGTCATTTTATATGAATTTGTATAGAAAATTGTCCAAGTGTTCATTTATTGTTCATTTATTGTATACAGCTATTTGTTTTTTACAAAAAAGGGGTGAAGTTTATTACAGCAAAGGTATGTTCTCGAAAACACTGACCCTGAACCGGCACGGACTTATACTCGTGCCGTGTCTGTGCCGGGTCGTGTCTGGGTTGGGTCGTATTCGGGCTGGGTCTAGGCTTTTTTTGGAAAAAAAATAGAAAAAAAGAAAAAAAAAGGAAAGAAGGGTCACTGGCCCGGCCCGGCCCGGGTCGTGAAATGGATGACCCTTAAACGGCCCGTCTGAAATTCTGTCCGGTCCCGGACCTGTGGTAAACGGGTTTTTGATCGGGCCGGGTCCATGCCGGGTCGGTTGACTCGTGGCCATGTCTACTCTATCACAACAAATCATTATCGTTAAACCTCTTCATCCGTGCCCGGGGTCGATGTATTTTTGTAATATCTCAAGAAATATTTTGTATGACAACAATAGAAAATAGAGAGATATTTGTAGTTATTTTTTACTATTTGTGAAATATATATTTATATGATACCAAAAAATATATACTATCAATATAAAAAGAAAAATATTTTGTATTTCAGGACATGAAAAGACGTTACATAAATGGGCACTATGCAAAATGGGGATCTTTTAAATTAAATTGTGTGACTGAAAGTTACATATTATTATTAAATGGTGAACATATTTTATTTAAATGAACACCTATTTTTATTAAATGAAATCATATTATTATTAAATGCTGCCTGAATAATATTTAATGAAGTTTCCCAATAATTATATATATATATATATAGAATTATATATATATAGATTGGTGTAAACTATCATTAGAAAAAATCAATGCAACATTTAAATGCTTGAAAAGCGAAAATAACATAGTAAACATGAGGACCGACCTTTTTTTTAGGCACCAATTTTTTACAAGCATCAAGTATTAACATTTGAAATAATTGAAGATATCATTACGAGACACTTTTTCACCATGAACTTCCTGCATAACTCAAATTTAAAAAATGTTACTCTTAGTGCTACTATTTAGATATTTATATTTTATTTTTTCATAAAACATAATTTTAATTTAAATTACCTACAATTGGAACATGTTAGACATAAGTTAGTACATGTTCGGCTCGTAAGCCTCTCCATCGTCTTGTCCCGACCCAACTAGACTCGACTTCAATTCTAACTTGCACCCAGCCAAGTTAGGGTTTGGAAGTGTCCATCACTCTCACTCACACCTCTCTTCTCAAGACGACACAAAATCACCCTAACCTCCAATACAAAAAGCTCACCTCCTTTAGGACATCGCCTTTGCCTCCGCCTCCGATTCCGACTCCAATTCTAATGGTAATTATTAGTTTTATCTGGGTGTAATGTATAATGTGAAAATAATGTAGTAGGGACTATTAGTGAGTAGGGGTGAGCAAAAACCAACCGGCCGAGCCGAGCGATTCGATGCGGTTCCTTGCAATTTTTTGAAGACCTCGGTTAAGTTTAAAACCGCAAATATTTCGGTGCAGTTCGGTTTTTGTTCCGAAAGGTGTAGTTTTAACCGCACCAAATATCATAACATGTCATTTTAGTTTTAACATCTGGACTTTTAGTTTACTTTTACATTTAGAACTTAAAATTTCATTTCTCTTTTCTATTCTCTTTCTTGCCCTAATTTTTGTTCAACTTTCATTATCTCAAGCTCTCTCAACCCCACAGCTGCAGTCGCCAATTTTCACTCTCAAGTCTCAACCTCGCTCCGCCGCTTTAAACCTCCCGCTCTGCCACTCGCTGTTGGTTGTCGTCTGGCGCTCTCATCCCCACTCCAACCACCGGCGCTGTCAACCCTATTCTCACCCACCGGTGCTGTCAATCCCGCTCTCATCCTTCGGCGATCTCGACCTCACTTTTAGTCTCAACCTTCTGGTTCGCTCGACATTCCATTCCGCCAGCTTCGTCAATTTAAGGTCAGCTTTTGGGAACCTTCAATTTTTGAACTTTCTAACTAATACCAATCTTCTTGATCGTTCTCCTCCGCACAATTGAATGCAAACATGTACAAGTCACTCACTTTCTGTCTAATCAACCATCTTTAGAGCTTTCAAAGGTAAGTTTAAAATCCGATTTTGTTTGTGATGGGGGATTTGCATGTATAACAAAAGGTAGTTTTGACATAAGATTATATTATTGTTTTAATGAATGACGAATGAGTTGGACAAAGTCTGCATAAGTTATCTTGTATTGAAGATCCAGATTAATCTTCAATCTAAAAGCAACTTGGATCTTACCCTTATCCTTATCCTTTTTCAATTTGTAATCTCTACTAATAAATAAACATTTTATATTCCTGAAAACTAAGTAAAAAAAAAAACTTTTTAATCTTAAACTCAAAATAAAAAAAACTTAATCATTTTTCATTTCGTAATCTCTGAAATAAATAAAAAAAATATAAATACTAGTAAATAAATTTTTTGATTTTAATTTTTCATTTCCAAAGAACACAAATGATGTGAAAATCGATGCTCACGGTCAGAAAAATGAATGTTAATTTTTATATTCACTTCCCTTAAAACATGTAATTAGCTTCTATATTAAAATATGAAATTAATAGTTGATGTAAGAGTTGCATCAATCACATAGGATTCCATTCTGTGCCTCAGCCCGGCGCTTCGTCTCGCCTCACCGCCGAAGAAAAAACTCCACGCTCTGCCTCTAAGTCCACCTCCAACTCCATTTTCAGATTCTAATGGTAATTACTAAATTTTTTAAAAATTGTTCATGTAAATAAAGGGAAAATATATCTTTTTCTCCGTTCGGAACTCAACATTGAATAAGTTTGCAGATGTCCACGGAAGAGCTAAGTAAAATCATCAATAATATATGTAACATCTCACTTGTAGGGCACATTAATCTTTGTAAACTCCTCTTCTGATTCATAATAACTCCTTAGATTTTTTTCCATTGATCCTGAATCATAATGTTTCTATTGCACGCAAGTCGATCGTCGGCTGCGTGACCGACATCCGCGCGGACGAGTCTTCCATCAAAACTACACTAATTTCTTTCTATCAGACAATGAGTACCTGATGGACACTCCTGGACACGTAGACTTCTCGTACGAGGTCATGGCCGCCCTCTACATCATTGACGTGGCCATTATTGTAGTCGACAGTATTAACAGCTTCTAGGCCGAGACTGAAAGTGTCATTGGGCAGGCCATGGCCGAGGGCATTCGCCCTGTCCTCACCCGGTGTTTTCACGAGTGTGAGGACAGGGCGAATGCCGTTGGCCATGGCATGCCGAATGAAACTCTCGGTGTAGGTCTAAAAGACGTCAATACAATCGACCACAATAATGGCCCCGTCAGTGATGCGGAGGGCGGCCATGACTTCGTACGAGAAGTCCACGTGTCCAAGGGTGTCCTGATGAGCTACTCAATGTTATCACTCTTGTGATAGAAAGAAATTAGTGTCAGTTTGGTGGTCGACTCGTCCGCGCGGATGTCGGTCACGCAGCCGGCGACGGTCGACTTGCTGCAAAAGAAACATTATGGTTTAGGATCAATGGAAAGAATCTGAGGAGTTATTATAAATTAAAAGATGAGTTTACCATGGTTAATGTGCCATACAAGTGAGATGTTACAGATATTATTCATGATTTTACTTGTCTCCTCTGTGGACACCTGCAAACATATTCAATGTTGAGTTCCAAACGGAGAAAAAGATATATTTTGTTTTTATTTACATGAACAATTTTTAAAAAATGTAGTAATTATCATTTGAAATCGAAAATGGAGTCGGAGGCGGAACAAGGAGTTTTTTTGTCGGCGGTGAGGCGCAGCGTCGGGGCTGAGGCACTTAATGGGAGCTAGGTGTGATTTTGATGCTGTTAATTTCATATTTTAATATAGAATCTAATTACATGTTTTAAAGTAAGTGAATATAAAAATTAACCTTTATTTTTCTGACCGTGAGCATTGACTTTCTCATCATTTGTGAGAATAGGATCTGACTTCATTTTTTTTTTTAATATTGAATTTACAGAATGAAAAATGTTAAAGTTTTTTTTTTTGTAATGAGTTTGCAGATATCCACGGAAGAGTTAAGTAAAATCATCAATAATATCTGTAACATCTCACTTGTAGGGCACATTAATCTTGGTAAACTCCTCTTCTGATTCATAATAACTCCTTAGATTTTTTCCATTGATCCTGAAAAATAATGTTTCTATTGCACGCAAGTCGATCGTCGGCTGCGTGACCGACATCCGCGCGGACGAGTCTTCCACCAAACCTACACTAATTTCTTTCTATCAGACAATGAGTACCTGATGGACACTCCTGGACACGTGGACTTCTCGTACGAGGTCATGACCGCCCTCTGCATCATTGACGGGACCATTATTGTGGTCGACAGTATTAACGGCTTCTAGGCCGAGACCGAAAGTGTCATTGGGCAGGCCATGGCCGAGGGCATTCGCCCTGTCCTCACCTGGTGTTTTCACGAGTGTGAGAACAAGGCGAATGCCCTTGGCCATGGCATGCCGAATGAAACTCTCGGTGTAGGTCTAGAAGACGTCAATACAATCGAACACAATAATGGCCCCGTCAGTGATGCGTAGGGCGGCCATGACCTCGTACGAGAAGTCCACGTGTCCAAGGGTGTCCTGATCACTCTTGTGATAGAAAAAAACTAGTGTCGGTTTGGTGGTCGACTCATCAGCGCGGATGTCGGTCACGCAGTCGGCGACGGTCGACTTGCTGCAAAAGAAACATTATAATTCATGATCAATAGAAAGAATCTGAAGAGTTATTATAAATTAAAAGATGAGTTTACCATGGTTAATGTGCCATACAAGTGAGATGTTACAGATATTATTCATGATTTTACTTGTCTCCTCTGTGGACACCTGCAAACATATTCAATGTTGAGTTCCAAACGTAGAAAAAGATATATTTTGTTTTTATTTACATGAACAATTTTTAAAAAATGTAGTAATTATCATTTGAAACTGAAAATGGAGTCGGAGGCGGAACGTGGAGTTTTTTTGTCGGCGGTGAGGCGCAGCGTCGGGGCTGAGGCACTTAATGGGAGCTAGGTGTGATTTTGATGCTGTTAATTTCATACTTTAATATAGAATCTAATTACATGTTTTAAAGTAAGTGAATATAAAAATTAACCTTTATTTTTCTGACCGTGAGCATTGACTTTCTCATCATTTGTGAGAATAGGATCGACTTCATTTTTTTTTTTAATTTTGAGTTTACAGAATGCAAAATGTTAAGTTTTTTTTGTAATGAGTTTGCAGATGTTCACGGAAGAGCTAAGTAAAATCATCAATAATATCTGTAACATCTCACTTGTAGGGCACATTAATCTTGGTAAACTCCTCTTCTGATTCATAATAACTCCTTAGATTTTTTTCCATTGATCCTGAACCATAATGTTTCTATTGCACGCAAGTCGATCGTCGGCTGCGTGACCGACATCTGCGCGGACGAGTCGATCACCAAACCTACACCAATTTCTTTTTATCAGACAATGAGTACCTGATGGACACTCCTGGACACATGGACTTCTCGTACGAGGTCATGGCCGCCATCTGCATCATTGATGGGGCCATTATTGTGGGCGACTGTATTAACGGCTTCTAGGCCGAGACCGAAAGTGTCATTCGGCAGGCCATGGCCGAAGGCATTCGCTCTGTCCTCACCCTCGAGCATCGACTTTCTCATCATTTGTGGGAATAGGATCGACTTCATTTTTTTTAATTTTGAGTTTACAGAATGAAAAATGTTAAGTTTTTTTTTGTAATTTAGTTTTCTGGAAAATAAAATGATTAATTTATTTTTTTTTATTTTGAGTTTAGGATTAAAAAGTTTTTTTTACTTTAGTCTTCTGGAGTATAAAATGTTTATTTACTAGTATTTATCTTTTTTTATTTGAAGAGATTACAAATTGAAAAAGGATAAAGGTAAGATCCAAGTTGCTTTTACATTGAAGATTAATTTGGATCTTCAATACACTGGGATAACTTATGCAGATTTTGTCCGACTCATTCGTCATTCGTTAAAAAGAAGAGTATAATCTTATGTCAAAATACCTTCTGTTATACTTGCAAATCCTCCATCACAAACAAAACCGACTTTTAAACTTACTTTTGAAAGGTCTAAAGATGGTCGATTAGACGTGGCGGTGAAAGTGAGTGACGACCAAGAAGATTGATTTGAGCTAGAAAGTTTAGAAATTGAAGGTTCCCAAGCATAGTAAAGCTCCATGCACTGCAAAAAAAAAAAAGTAAGTTCCCCTTTCCTTTCAAGAAATGGTTAGCATATTATAAAGACATATATTACTCACCACCATTCAGTTCACTTGTGTAGTGTGCATGTGTGGACTTTGATGACAATTAAAGATCTTAATAGAGAATTGTTCATCTTTTGGTTGGGTGATTGTGGAATAATTGCAGTTTTGTGTTTGACATGCAATTCCTGGTCTTCGGGGGTGCAGTTATTTGAACTTTTATTGATTGCTACTGAAATTGTGAAGGTATGTTGCAAAGCCATCTCCTTATTGTCTTGCTCTGGATTCCACTTTCGGATTTTTTGGAAGTCTTTATTTTCTCATGTAGGTTGTTATGAAGAAATTCAATTTATATGGGTTAATCTACTACACTATTGGTTTCCTTAAAATGACGGACAAACAGGTACTCCCCCTCTCTCTCTCTCTAAGTTTATATCCAGATGTATATATGTTGTCGGCTGGGCCCAATTGGACTGTAACATTTTCTTTTGTTTGAGTGTTTCCACCTGTTTTACTTAGATATTTGAGTTTTGAAACTTTAGGTGAGCGATTTTGTATTTAAGTTTCAACTTTTTTCTAGTTAGTCTGCTGCTAGCTACATATGCAAGATTTATTTTTACTTTCAAAAGATAGTAATTGTGAGATTACTTTTTATAGGAGCAACTCGAGCCAATTTCTCCTTTCTTTTCTCTGTACTTCTCATCATCTCTTGTTTGTATGACATGGATGTAGGTTGAATCCTGGTTACAAGATGCTAACAAGTATGTTGCTGAAGAGGATAACAATACTTACAGTTGTCGTGTATCCGGTAAATAATTTCTGGAATTGGAAATACTTTGTACCTTAATTTCTGCTAATGGCAGAATGTTTACCCTCCGAGCAGGCAAGCTTATAGAGTAAATCATGGTGGTATGTTGGATGTAGCTTGGAGGTGATGTGCTCATTTTTGTTAGTGTGTATGGCCCTTTTGTTTGAATCACTCTATTGTCCTTTGGTATTGAGATTTCACATGTGCTTACAACATGAAGCTCTTGTTTGTCGTAGCAGATTGTACAATGTTAAGAAGATGTTGTAGATGCATTAATTTTCCAGAAACTAAATATGTTTTGTCTCATTCAAGAAAAAGATGGATAGTTATTACTCATATGTTAATTTGATTCCATCTTGACGAGATGTCAGTTACTCATATGTAATTTGATTCTTTATGCATGACTCTGAGGTATGTTTATGCATTGTGCTATATGTTTTCTAGTAATAAATGTCCTCAGCCCCTAACATAAATGCGAAATAAGTAATATTTCTGTGAGTCGCACACTCATACCATGATCACAATTTGGTTATATTGTTGTGCAGGCTTCTAGACCCTGAACTAGAAACTTCTGGATCGCTTTTTGTCAGCAGCTACATTCTACAGCTTATTTTACATTTGCCTTCACAAATGGCGCAGCTTATCACAGTGTTCACAAATTGCGGGACTGAAATGTTCATTGCTTCTGATTTTTGCTAGATTGGTCAGATTTTCTTATAAAAACATTTTCCAAAGTAGGAATTTGTTTTTTTTTTTTTCTCTTTTATAAAATATAGATAGTTCAAGTTATTTTCCCTGATGCAGGTCCACATGAGTGTCCCACATGTTGAACAATTTGTTGACTTGCTCGTCTCTATCCCTGCCGAAGGCGGAAGGTCATCTAAACTCGTTTTCTTATGTAATGTCTGAATGGACCCAACAACAAGGCAAGTCCTCATGTTAATTAGACTTTTGTTTATTTGTGTGAAATACATTACTTCACGAAGTAATCATATTCTTTATTCATGTTTCTTCTTTCATTTTCCTTTTCCTTTTTTCAATATAAACATCACTTTATCTAGAGAATTTGTTAATCCGTCGATTTGGTTGTTTTGCTTATTACATCCAGGGGAAATTCAAGGAGCCTACCAAATGAAAGTGACAACTATTGCTTTGGCTTTGTTGCTTTTGACTCGACATGTTGAATTTGGGAACATTAATGTTTAAGGTCATCTTATCAAGGTTAGATTTTACTCCTTTTACATCTGGCACTTATTTTGCGTTTTCAAAAAACTCACTCCATTGTATATATTTTTTATAGTCTGACACAGGCATAACGACTCGCTCCAGAGCCAAGAAATTACCGGATCAATGGACAGTTGTGCCACTTCCTGCTAAGGTATTAGTTTTTGCATGGTCTTTTCATATTAATTGGAAAGTGAAAAATGGTATGTAATTGATGTTTTTTTTTTTTTTTTTTTTTTTTTTTTTTTTTTTTTTTTTTGTCTTTGATTTCTTATTAAAGTTTTAGTTTTAATTTAACATTCTTACGTGCTTTCTGGGCACAATAGATTCTGGCTATACTAGAGGACACTTTACTAGAATCCAAGAACAAGTAGATGGGGATAATGAGGTAGTTTGCCATAACTTAAATTCACATTTCCCAGCTGGTTTTTGAAAATCTCAGCAAAATTTATTTTGGCAGGAGGATAGCGATAGCGACTGGGACGAAGCTGAGAGTGAAGTTGAGAGTGAAGATGATGATTTCTTATCTTCTTCTGCTAAATCTGCATTACATGTTAGACCTACTTATGAATATCTTGATGCCATGGCAAAGGCTTTTAATGAGGTTTGACTAGCTGCCAAGATTTCCAGTCTTAAGTTTGCCATAACTTAAATTCACATTGTGTTTGATTCTTCAATTATCCGGTTACACAATTCTACTTTCATTCTTAAGGACGAAGAAGATGACTTTGAAGATGAACTTCTTAGTGGTGTGGATCCTGTAAATGAGGTAAACCTTATATTTGATTGCTAACTGCTGCCCACAACTTGCCCTGAATATTTAGTTCATTCACTTTTCTTTTAACATCTATTATGCTTATGCAGATCAGTTTAGTGAACATTCTTTTCGAATCCCTGGAAAAATTCTCGGAGGGCGACAAACCATGTTTTGAACATCTATTTCAGGTCTAGTTGCATTCTATCAAGTTTGTCAATCATAAATTTTACCCAGATTTTGATACCGGTAACTCTTAAGAATCTGGATTCCCATTTGAATCTTGATTTCTCGAATGCAGAGCATCACAAAGCCTCAACAAGAAGCTATGGAATTGGTTTCAAGATGAGGGGCAGTGTGATTTGTTTAGTGCAAAGATTGCCGATCTTTGTAAGTGCCAGTACATTACACATCTTTTTCTTTTGTTTCAATCGATATGTTTGATTGTGTAAACTATGAAGATAGTGTTATAGAAGGGTGGAAAAAGGTTATGTTTTTGTAATTTTCTAAGAAATAGTGGAGTTGTTTATTATTATTATTGGAGCATTTGCAAGTCCTTGTTTATTGGTGCCCATCTACTTGGTCAAGATTCAGGCTATCAAGCTTGACCTTCGCGTGATTTACCAGACTATATACAATAAGAGGGGACTGTGTTCAAAAAGAAGGAGGTGCTCTACAATTGCTTGCAAAGCCTACCTGCCGGTGATGGAGTCTGTTGGGTTATTCGCCGACCTCCGGGCAAAGACTTCCGGCGAGATTTTGAATTAGTGTTTAGATCTTCATTGCAACATATATGTTTACTTGCTCCTGTGTCCACAATCCAACTTGTATGTTCCAAGTCATTCAGTAATGTGAATCCGAAATGTATGCACTGTTTGTTTGCCGATTTACTACTTGTGTTGGTAATTGGTATGCATGTTATGGGCAATTGTTTATGTATACAAAGTGCATGGAATTCTTAGTTAGAAGTTTCCTTTCAGAGATCTTATATATGTAATGTACCTTTAAGCTTTACATTGGGTGAAATTTTGAATATGTTTTTGTCTACTGCATGGAGAAACAAATAAAGCAGAACTTATTCTTCTTTTATTCAATTTATTCCCTTTCCATTAGTAGCGCCATGTAGTTTGAAGCACCCTTGGATTTTATGTCCATTATAACCACAATGCTCGCCGAACAGCTTTGCCCTTTCTTCCTTTGAAAGCCTGTTGTGTCCTCTTCCCCTTCCCAAGCTGTTAACCTTGATTTAAGAGGTATTATTCCTGACAGACTTCTTAAGATAAGTCCCCTAGACATCAAATATGAACAAGATCCCCTTTATCTTCTTTCATCCTTGTTTTTTTTCTTTTCCGGCTTCCAAAAATTGTATTCTTTTAGGGTTGTGGGTATCTAGCACTGGAATATGCTGTGCTCTATGTTTTTTATCCTAAGTTCATGCATTCACACTACATAACATGTGACACTTTAAGCAATGGCCCTTGCTCTGCTCTATGTTTTTCTCCTAGCATTTCATTTTCCCTCCACCCAAAAACCAATCTTATTATTAGCTAATCCATACGACAACCTTATAAAAATTCAATGCCACAATGTAAATGCCCCAAACGCGTACGCATCGAGTGTCTCAAGTCCGACAAATCGCAGCCTAAATGCCGACAAATATGAAATTGCTACGCTTGTGCAGTGTCTTGAAAAAAAAAAAAAAAAAGGAACGACATGCGTACAATAATGGCTAATTCGTGTTATGTTTGTCTCAGGAATTTGAGCTTCAGCAATTTGGCGGGAAGAATTCCAGAGTCAGCTTCTCAACCATAGTTCTATAACCCACTTGTAACTACACTTTGAGTTAATCACTCACCCAGGTTGTTTATTGTTTTATTCTGTTTTAATTGATTATTTATTTATTTATTTTTCTGCACCAGAAAGAAGTTCATTTCATAGGACTATGTGAGTGTCCATTCCTATTTCTCCTATTTTCAAGTCTCACAATGTTTATATGTAAAGATTTTTTGAACTTCTGCAGAGATTTGTCGTACAATGATATTTTTTGTTCAAACGTCACGCCATAGAAGGGAATTTTACCTGCCAATTGAGAAAGAACTTGAGCTTTTTGCAGTTTTCTTGCATGTTAATCTTTAAATTTTCTGCCAGACTTCTAAATCATATAAAGTTTGGATGTTAGATGTTCTAATATTTTCAGATTGTGTGAAGGGGGAGAGCTTCTTGATACGATATTGATGAGGCCTCTCTCTCTCTCTCTCTCTTTGAGGATTTGTGTTTCTAAAGCGTGTAGAATTATTTCCTTAGCTAAATCCCATGTTAACTGACGTCTCTATGTTTTAATTTGCTTTAGTAGAGATGATCAATGCTCTGAAGTTTATGCTAAGGCAGTTGTTGCCCAGATTCTGAGTGCGATTGCCTTTTGCCTTGTGCTAAAACAGATTCCGACATTTTCGAGGCAGTTTCGAAATATAACCTTAGTTTTGATGAAAAACCTTAGCCTTCACTCTCGTCCGAGTCGAAGGATTTTGTGAGCCTTTTATTACAAAAGATCCCAGCCGAAGAATAAAAGCTGCCCAGGCTCTGTGGTGAGCTTTTTTTGTCACCTCAAATGGTAGATTTTGTTTGTGTTTTTAATGTGCGGCTATGAAAATATTTTCAGCTTCTGGCAAATGAAGGCTTACATTCAATCGTCGACTTTGCGCAAAGCTGCCTTAAGGGTGTGTATTTGACTTATAGAGATTTATGTAAGACTTTGTGTTTTGACTGTGTCTGAAAATGATATAAAACAACACTATTGAGTTTTTATTGAATAAATGACACGAAGAGAGTTGCTACAAATTTTTTTCAAGTTTTACTTATAAAGAAGCAATTCAGCTTGATGCAAATGGAGGCATAACTATGGAGACCATAAAAATGGTTAAGTCTGCTCATTAATCGGTAAACTTGAAACCTGATTATATTACATTAATCGCAGATAATTTTTTCTCAACATTGTCAAGTTTTTGGAATCTTGAGTTGAGTTATGGTTAAAGACTTTTTACATTAGCAGTAAGACAGTCTATAATGTGATCTTTTGTTTTACCTAACCGGTGCAAGATTTTTGCACTTTATACACATGAAGTAATCAAAATGCCAATACACTAGAGCAAAGTAAACCAATGGCTCGCTGCACGTAAATGTTTTTCCAAACAAAAGCATGACGTACAATAAACGAGCATTTTATTACACACTTGTTCTTAAGCATAGGAGAACAAAAGGCTACTATATTTTACACAGCTGTTCTTAACCAAGTGGTCGTGTGACCGAATTCTACCATTTCCAGTCCATTTTGATCTTTTTTTTATATATATATATATATTTTTAATATTTCCTATTTTTTCTCCCTTAATTATTACTTATTTCGTTTAGAGTCTGAGATCTTTATATATACATCTAAAACATTATTTTAAATTTATTATACTTTAGGACTACAATAGAGGTCAGCACTGAGCCCTTATCTATTTGCCTTGGTGATGGATGAGGTCACAAGGGACATACAAGGTGATATCCCTTGGTGTATGCTCTTTGCTGATGATGTGGTGCTAGTTGACGAGAGTAGAGCAGGGGTAAATAGGAAGTTGGAGCTGTGGAAGGACGCGTTAGAGTCGAAAGGCTTCAGACTTAGTAGGACGAAGACCGAGTACATGACGTGCGCTTTCAGCATGGCTTCACATGATGATGGTGACGTTACCCTTGACGGGCAAGTGGTGGCCGAGAAGGAGACTTTCTGGTATTTGGGAACGATGCTACAAAAGGATGGCGGCATTGATGCTGATGTTA